AGGGCTCAAGCTCCATGGCGATATGGGTGGATCTGCCTGCTGAGAGGCACAGCTGGGAGGGACTGGGTCATGGGTTGCGTGTGGCGCGAGGAGGGTTGGTCCCTGAAAATTTGGTGAATCTACGCGTGTCTTTCCACGGTTCCTCTTTTTGGGCAATTTTCGTTCTTTTTGTGTTGAATTTAACTTTTAGTGAGGTTGGTGGCACGGTCCGAGTGAGTTTGGACGATTTGAACATCACATTGATCATTGCGAAGGACTCTGAGGTGAGGCCACGTCTTTTTGTGGACCTTGACCTTCCGTGAGAAACTGACCCCTGCAAAAGCGTTCAATCCAAACCCTTCCAATGCGAACCTGTCCTGGATTCAGGGGCCTTTGAATTGGAAGATCCCGGCTTTTGAGGGGGAACAAGAGGAAAGCAACTTCATTTTGGTGGGTCCCCCAATTTGAGACAAACCCTTCTCAGTTTGTGCTAGTCTCACAGAATCCGTTTGCCCGCTGCTTGGGCAGGCTGTGGTTGTATTCTTTTGTGTGCAAGGCTTCCAGGCCAAAACAAAGCGATGCCTGCACGAGACTGCCTGTTTGAACCGGCTGCATTTGAGAGCCTTCCGTTTGAGCACGCAGTTGGTTTTGAAGATTTGAAGGGGCATGATCACTCAACATGTTGTTGGCTCCCTCGTGGAAGTGTGGACCCCAAAGTCCTGAGTCACTGGAGATTGAATCAGATGGCTTGCCAGCGGTTCCTTTCTGGGACCCTTCCGGATTCGATTTGAGGTCTTAACAGATAGCGAAATGTGGGGAAGATGAACCCCGGAAGTTGAACTCCCCAGATAGCCTGGGGCTTGCCTGTGTACCATAGGTTATTGAGATGAATACGGTTGCCCCTCAGACACGACTTGTAACATGTGACATATACTCCCCTGGCCACTAACGTGGAACCCACCAGAGGGTCCACGGAAAAGCAACGCAGTCGAAACAAGGACCCTCAGTTAGGTTCTCGTATGATGCTTTCAGTGCCCACTCGATCTCCAGCACCTCCAATGTTAGTTTATAATAGTTTATATTTGGGGTAGACTATGGGTGTGTCTGTTTTTGGGGACCCAACACGGAGTTGCTTTCGGTTTTAACACATGTACGAGAATCCGAAAATTATGTGCGCCAAGTGAACCTCGCCCACCCAGGAAGGATCCCACCAATTGGGAATTTCTCAAAAAGGTGGCCCCCCTTTTGGTTGGTATTTACAGGGAAACCAAAAGGACTCCAAGCAATTTAGGGCATCCCATTTTTCAGAGCCGTCACCCAAATATTCTCGGGGCTTGGGTGATTTGTTCAACGACTGGAGGCAATGGCGAGCGACATGGAGGCGAGGTATCTGCCTATTTCATGGGTTTCGAGCACCGCTCCCGGGTAAGACGCCTTTTTCCCGGATAGGCTCCGGGGTGGTCAGGTTCCACGAAAGTTCCACGAGGGTTCCACCAGGGTTCCACGAGGTTGTGCGAGGGTGCGAGTAGTAAAGAGCATCACATGCTGTTGGGGATATCACCTGTGCTTATTTTTCCGGGGATCCCTAAATTCAGGTTTTGCGACTCTTGTATTGTCGCTGGAGTTGTGCCAAGTGTGCGGGTGGGATGAAACCGAGATTGGTCAGAAAGCGACTCCCTGGAGTTGTGGTTGTGTGGGGTGGGGGAGATTTGCAGAGCGTTTCTTGTGAAGCTCGTGCCTTTTGACTTTTGTTTGATGTCCGACAGTTTTCTATCCCGGGCGATGCTGGTGATGCTGGAGATGCTGCTGGTGACCCTTTTGGTGATGCTGGTGATGCTGCTGGTGATGCTGGTGATGCTGGCTGGTGATGCTTGTCTTTCCTTGCTTTTCCTCGCTTTTCCTTGCTTTTCCTCGCTTTTCCTTGCTTTTCTTCGCTTTTCCTTGTTGCTGCTGTGCGTCTTGGAGCTTAGTCCAAGGAACTCCAAGATCTGGGGAAGGTCTCGTCCCCAAACTTGGCAGCTGGGCAGTGGGGAAACTGGACCTGGATGAAGCGAAGGAGGGAGTCGTCTCATCCGTGTGTGACTACAGATGGCTTCTGTGGCCTTGGTACGGCTGCTCAGTGTTGTGCAGCTGAATGATGGTGGTTCGTTGCAATTTTGGAATCTGCAAGCGGCCAGGCCTTGGATGCAGGTTGTGTGCTGCTTCAGATGAAGTACTGGAGTGGATGGGGGCGCACGGTGGTTCGACGAGGCAGCTTATGCCGGTCCTGGGGGTGTTCCGCATTCAGCCGAACGACAAGCGCGGAAAAGCCGTTAGTGAGTGACATGTTTTTTGCCCAGTTGCATGCGGTTAGGTTGAAAGCAACGGGGGGGGTAGCCAAGTCGATTAGCACGGGAGCGCGTAAGGTGTCATACTATTTTCTTCAGAACAAAGTGGTCAAAGAGTAAAGCCTGTTTACATGGTGTTTGTGGCAGATTACCGAGATATGTGGTGTACCAAGCGCTGAAAGTATACCAGGAACACCTAGTTTTGCCTATAGCAGTCTGAACGTGTCCTTGTTGGGGACACTTCTCGGGGTTGCAGCACGTGGGAGTACGGTGCACACATTGTTTTCTTTTTTTAATTGCCGAATCGGCCTATGAAAGAGGCATGCTGCAGCGGCATGCTCAGTCGTTTGTTTGGTAATGTTTCCGGACTTTCTTCGTCATTTTGAAGAAAGCAGGCCGTCTAAAATGACAGTTATGAAAAGTTGTGTTTAACATGATCAAGTAGTCCGTGACTGACCCATGGAGGTATCACGGTGAAGTTGCAGGCCCTTCCTCTTTGTTCCTTTTTTTGAAGGGGGTGGCTGCTTGAAAATACAACTAGCGGGAAAGGAGTGCCCTGTGTTTCTCATACAAATCCACGGGCCTGGAGAATTATAGGTGCTGGACACTTCCAAGTTTCTCGTGGGGTCGCTCGTCAGGAGCGGGCCCTGCGCTCGCAGAGGAAGGGCTGTGCACGAGGTTTTCAGAGGAAGGGTCCGAAGAGGCTTTCCCTGTAGTTTCCTTGTAAGCCTCAAAAGGACACCCTTAAATCTATTGAGCCCTTAAATCTATTGACAAGACAACATGTCCATGTTTGGAAAGATTAAACATTGCAGCGACTTAGTTTGCACTCCAGAAGGATGATCAAGTCAAATGGTGCAATGTTCGGCCGGGACGGTGCCATAGAACCTGCCAGGTCAGTCCACGATTCTAGCAGGTAACCAGGGAAACCGGTGTGGGGGTACCCTGCTTGGGGCTAAACTACCCTTGTGTGGGTTCCCTCAAAACACACGCACGCACATACATGTAGAGACAAGGGAACCTGAATAGTTGAAGATTGGACCTTTCCAACTGCCACTCTTTGGATTATTCACGTTGGGACTTCAGGTTTTGAAACAGATTCAACGAATTGCCGTTCTTTTGTGCTTAGCCGCAAAGCTTGGGGTTCTATGAGCCTAATAGCAACCAGCCGGCGCAGTTTAGGAAGACGTTGTTGGGCAAGCGGGAGGCAATGCTTAGCAACTTGAGGGACTCAACAGCTTGGTGGAGCAGCCCCTCGAGTCCAGCCAGGAGCCATCCCACAAGAATGTGTTGCATGCATAGTCCAGATGCTCTTTTTCTTTATTGGGTTTCCCTTGGACGACTGATCCAAGCGCCATGCTTTGCATGACCACATCAATCTTGGCCGTATCCGCGTATCCCATCCTCAGACGTTCGTGGACTGCTTCTGGTCTTGAACATCTCCTGTTTAAGAAAGAAAAAGACACATTTTCCCACCAAGGGGGATGGACAAGTGTTGAAGCGCTAGACTTTTTGTCCCGGATGCGTCATGAAACGACCCACTTGGAGAAACATGCATCCCGGGCGCCCGCAGCCGTTGGGCTTAGTTCCAGATTCCAGGCACTTGCCCCAAACTCAGGCACGGCCCATCGAGTCCGGATGGTGAACCTACAACCACCCCCAGGGATAAAAGGAATAATGGTTGCTTCTCCCATTATTTTGTGGAACCAGGGTTGCGGGAAGGTTGGATGTTCCTGCCAGCTACGGGGTCCATTGAGCAATCCTGTCGGTGCTGCGGAGATTCCCCGTAGCCGATGGGGATACTTCTGCGAGATAGCCACCCCGAAGTCATTGCCAGACGGGTTGTACCTTGTTCACCTTTTGCCTTGGTTTTCCCTCCTTTCATTTCAGCCACCGAAAGTTCTCTTGCAGGGTCCAGGAATGCGGAACCTCGAGCTGAAGACTCCTCAAGCAGTCTGGGGTTTGTCTTCTTAAGGTTGGACCCCTCAGTAGGGAGACCTGAAAAAAAGGAAACCAGCACAAAGCCAGGTTTCCCTCAGGGTCTGAGTACCTGCCAGCCTGGTTTTAACATCACCTTTTTTGGGTCCAATGTAAACGGGGGGGGGGGGGGCCTTTTGGTGGGGTGATGTTTGAAGCAAGTTTTGGAGCACCCTTTGTTTCAATTTGTCCAAAAGGGTTGACCCAGTTCTCTTGCAATCTGCCCTCTGGCAGAAGTCATATTCCACCATGCGCTATGACAATCATGTACCCGCAAGCAGGTATAACAAGGCACCTGGATTTGTTGACACTGACGCCGTCCCGGCTTCAAGTGGCGTGATGTCCCAAACGTGGCTTGGTGAGGCCTCTACGCCAGGCCATGTTGGTGAAGTGGTAACCTGCGATCTTCGGCTCAAGCAGGTCGTGGGCATGAGGGGGCTAACCAAAAACACATATGAGCTTCTTATGGTTGGTACTTAACTGGCTTTAAAGTACCCACAACCCCGTTCCAATAGATGTGTTTTGGAGGGTAATCTGTTTTAAGTTTGTTTTAAGGGGAAACAACAGGCATACCACATGACCTCTAGGGCTTCTCGTTGACATACGCAATCACTCAGGTCTCGCGCTCAGATCAAGCGCCATGTTTCGGGCTGTCTCCAAAGCGGCTGTCGCTTTGGCCGCCTCGGCCCTCTGCTTCAGCGCCGCGTTGCCCCGAAGATGGGCGGCCAATGGCCCGGCGCGGCTCAATTTTCGCGGCCATTTAAAGGAAGGACCGCGTCAGTGAAGAACAGGAGTCTGGTGCTGCAGAAACAAAGCTGGCAACGGAGAAGTATGAGTATACAATCCAGTGGATCCCATTCGCGATATTGGTTCGGTCAAGAAGGTGACGCACAGTTTGCCTCCCAACACAGGGCCTCCCCCAGGTTTGTCTTGGCTGCTCTTTGGGGGCTCCCCCCTATTTGGTACACCCCCCCCATTTGCTGGGTGCACCACACCCCCATGTGCACGCTCAATCCCGGAAGGATGGCGCACGCGCCTCAGAGTTCGGCCCTACTACGGCGACGGGGAGCTGCTGAGCCCCGGGGAGATCGTGGGCTACCGGTTGGATCTGCCAGGAGGCGACTGGGGCGGTCAGCGCACCCGTTTGGACGTGGTTCAGATGGGTTGCTCGTGGCTTTGAGGATCGCCTTTTGCCGGGAGCTCCGTTTTGGGGCGAGGTTTAAGGGGGAGGTATCGGGAACCCTGGGGCGAACATTTTTTTGGGGGGGAGTTTGATGCAAGGTCAATTGCGGGGCTGGGGAAAGCACAGGGCCCTGTCGCTTTTTCAGGTTTAGTCTTAGGTTCACGTCTGAAAACAGCTGGCATGGCAAGAAGCCTAGAATTAGCCATTTGTACAGGAAGCTGTTTGTGAGATCCTTGCTAGTGTTCAGTACCGAATTTAGGCGGCATTTGCTTTCCATATCGCGTCTCAAAATTGGGGCAAATTTGCGATTGCCGGATTCATCCAGAGGACCACGTTAATCAGACAAGTCCTAAAAATTAGCTCATCCCCACCGAAGGTGACTTGCCATCCCTGATTAGCATGGTCATCCTTCTGAATCCGCACCTGACATAATTTGCTCACTCCCCGAGTTCTCGGAAATCGGTCCAATCTTTGGAAAGACAATCTTACCATTGAATCTTACCATTTGTTTCCCAAACAAGTGGACATTGTTGCTGGGGTTTGGGGGCCATTTTCGTTGAAGCTTCCCATTTTTCCACTGGACTTGGCCCCTGAGGCTTTGTGCACACAGGTATCCACCTGGGCCCGGGGGGCGCGAATCTCAGCAGCTGCTGTGGTGCGGACTCTTGGCGATAGCGCGAAACCAAGTGGGTCTGTCTGTTTGTAGAACCCCTTTTGATTGGTTTTGGGGGGAAAGAAGAAGGGAAACCATAGTTTTATATTTTTGCTTAGCTTAAGACAGACCCAAGTAGGTATGCAAATAGGTATGTGTTGAAAAAGGAACTGGATCCCAACACTCGATTTCGTTTTCCTTGTGTTTCCCCAGCAACCTGACAAGGGTACCCTCAAAACACCACCCACCTGAAAGTTGTTTGAAGCAACCTGGCTGGGATTTTCTTGGTGGCAGCCCAACTAAGCAAGGACCCCCTTTCAGAGCCCGCTTAAAGAGCGCTTTGATTCATGAAGGTTCCAAAAGGGCCTCCGACTTGGCCAAAATGCCACGGAGTAACTTCGGACCGAAAGCATCAGGGGCGGCAAGCACCTTTCCATTGTATAGGCTGACACAGGCTGAAAGACAAGTTGACTTTTGCCGGCCAAGTGGATTTTTGTTATCTGTTCATTTCCGGTTTTAGTCATTTGTGGCGTGTTCTCGGGGCTGGTGCGATAGTCACTCCGGTTCCTTCCCTGGAGAACCAAAAGGACACCTAGCCGCTGTCCCTTGTTCTCTTTTGTGGTCCTGACATTCCCACCCCCTCAAGAATGGGAGGGGGGTCCCCCCGAAAATTCCCGTTTCTAGTTGCATGTTCCCTTTTGTGGGGAAGACTGGAAAAATGGAGTTGGGGGCCCCACCCTTCCCCTCTCCCCGTTCAGGAGGGGATGTCTTGACAACAAAGGAGGTAGTTGCATGACGCTCAACGGAAAACACGATGGATTTTGTCAGGTGTGTTTTGATTTTATGTTCAACCGTTCCGCCCACATGTGGTGTCATCTCTGCAAAATTCAGATGGCAACCCAACCAAAAATCCCAGGTCCACAAAACAGCGGGGGCTCAAAGAAGCAAAGTGTCCCATGTCAAAGAAAGGTGCCCCCTTGTCTCCCATGCCCACTGGGGGTCTTGACATGCCCTCCCCCAAGGAAACGTATTTTTGTTTCTCTACAATAGCCAGGCAAAACAAGTCGCCCTCTTTGGAACTCAGGTCTAGCCCGCCTGCGACTTGATTCTTTTTTTGCAGATTTACAATGAGCTGGCAAATTGTAAGACCGGGATGTCCACCTCAAAAGTGGTGGACCTTCCTATCTGCAACCGAATTTAGATGCCCACCCCAGACTTCCGAATTGAAATTCATGCCCGCCCATTATGAGCCCCACCAAAGGCTCAATTAAGCTTCATGCTTCAATGGGTGTGTCTTTTTGAGGCTACCCCCTGGTTTGTCGTTTTAAAGGGACACCCCAAAAGAAACACTATTTTGGGTTGGGGGGGGGAGAAGTCGGGGGTTGGGAGGGTGTCCTTTTAGACAACATCATTTCCACTGGTAAATGTTTGGAACCAAACTGAACCGAAGACTTAAATGGCCATGGGTTAAAACTAATGGTACCATTTTCGGGTAGGTGCACCTGCCATTTAATTCCATTTTAGTGGGGATTGGGATGTTCACTGGGGGAGAACCGGGCTTTTGACCCATGGCCATTTTTTTTTTTTGGCAAACCAAAAGAAACCAAAAGGAAACCAACAAAATACCCTATCACCATTTTGGGGTCCATAGACTTAACTGGCTCTGGTATTTTCTTCGAAGCAAGGACTGCTTGGACGGGCACCACTACGTCATCGAATTCTCCGGGCCTACTCGTACCAGCGGGTTCCCACAGAGCTCGGTGGCTGGCAGGCGCGGAAGCACATGTGTGGGTCCTGTTTTTGTTTGGTTCGCACAAAGGGAGGAAAGGTTTTTGGCCAACATTTCAGTTCCCTCCAATTGGTGCTTTGGATTGGTGCTTTGGATTGGTGGGAACTGGGGATTTGAACCCCTGGTTCGCTTGCAGAGGGTCATGGGACCCCCCATGATAAAGGTTTAAAAAAAGAGAGCCCCAACAGGGAAAGCAACTCCAGTGCCCCGTTTTAGCCACGCTTGGAGGTGGGTGTCCCGGGTGCGTTTTTTGCTGTGGCCACCGGAGGTCGTGGAAAGCGCTTTCTCAAAGTCAGAAACTGGGCTCGGTTCCCCTAATAAGCATTAAGCTTATTCAAACCATCGGATTTTGGAACCGAGCAAATGGTTGAAGCCGATCACGTTTGAACCGAACTGACCCATTTGGAGAACCGCCGGGTTCCCAGCGCGGGCTTTTGGTTTCCCTTTGGCCTCTCTTAAACCACCCCAGAAGACCTTTGGCTTCCTCCTCTGTAAGCAGTGGCAACAAGCTGTGTACAACCTGTTTTAAAAGAACTTGTCAGTTCTGTTCTCAAAACCGTAGTATCTGATTTGTTATCCCATGTTTTTCATGTCTGTTTGTTTTTGGAGAACTCGCCAGGGTCTCGTCGGGCCTGGGCTCCCAGAACATTTGGATCACCGCCATGGAGCCGGAGACGGAGCCACGGCCACGGGGGCGGGATGGGGGGCCAGTGCTTCGCAGGCGCTGGCCACCTTCAGCAGGCAGCCCTTCGGGTTTTTCTGAGCTTTAGGTTTCACACGTTGGTTCCCGCCTCACCAACTATGTAAGTGGAACTGGGTTTGACACGTTGTCTCTCTTCCCAAGTTCATGGACTGGAACATGTTTTTGGTTTTCGTTGGCAAGCCGAAAGTCTGGACCGTTGTTTGGCCATCCAGGAAGCGAGTTATTGATTTGGCGGCTGTTTTTTCACCCTCTTGATTGGTGCCAAACCCATGGCGATTTGGAGGTTGAGGGGTCACAGTGCCTTCCGCATTTGGTTTCAACAAGCCTGTAACACCCATCCAAACCACCAATCAAGACCAGGGGCTATGTTGGATCTTTGGCCTTCAACTGTTTGGGAACACGTGTGTAGGGGAGAACTCCTTGTGACAAGTTTTGAAGCGGCAGCAGGTTGGCCTTTTCTAGAAGATCGCTGGCTACAGGGTTTACAGGGGCAACTCGACCCCCATGCTTTTGGGTAGCCTGTCAACAAAAAGCACTCAAACATCCTGAAAAACTTGACGAGCCGAATTACCTGAAACGCCTCACGAGGGCAAAAACGACAAAACGAAAACCTCCAGGAGTGGCTCTCCTTCGAGCTGCTCTCGGAGGAATTGGGCCCACCATTCTCTGGGGAGGAGCTGGCGAAACGCTTTGCTTTTTTTGCTTTTTTTGTCTGCAGGGAGGTCCGACCATTACACAAGCTCACAAAGTCTGGAGCTTGACCAACCAGTTCAGTTCTCCGTTTCTTTCTTCTCCCTTTCTTCTCGCTCCTCTTCTCCCTCCCAAATTGCCCACAATCTTCCCAACAACATTTCTGTTAGCAATTAGCTTTTCAGGAAGAAAGGGTGAGGAAAAGAGAAAGAGAGAGAGAGAGAGAGTGATAAAGAAGGGGGAGAAAGAAGGGGGGAGAAAGAAGGGGGGAGAAAGAATGGGGGAGAAAGAATGGGGGGAGAAAGAATGGGGAGAGAAAGAATGGGGGGAGAAAGAATGGGGGGAGAAAGAATGGGGGGAGAAAGAATGGGGGGAGAAAGAATGCGGGCAGAAAGAATGCGGGCAGAAAGAATGGGGGGAGAAAGAATGGGGGGAGAAAGAATGGGGGGAGAAAGAATGGGGGGAGAAACAGGAATGGGGGAGAAACAGGAATGGGGGAGAAACAGGAATGGGGGAGAAACAGGAATGGGGGAGAAACAGGAATGGGGGAGAAACAGGAATGGGGGAGAAACAGGAATGGGGGAGAAACAGGAATGGGGGAGGAGAATGGGGACAGGAATGGGGGAGAAACAGGAATGGGGGAGAAACAGGAAAAACAGGAATGAGCATGGACAGTCCGGGGACTGAACCCGGGGCCTCCCGCATGCTGAGCGGGTGTGATACCACTACACCAACTGCCCCTGATTTCATATCTCCTTCTTTCTCCCGTTCTTTCTCCTCTTCTTTCTCCTCTTCTTTCTCTGCTACGAAATCTGTGCTGCGCGTGCCACGCAAAATGGACCTCCGAGAAACCGCAACATTCTACCGCCGTGGCAAGACCGTCGCGACAAGTTTTCTTAGACTGACACTTCATCGCCGGAATACAGGCACCACGGCGGATAAGGAAGATGCCCTAATGCGCCGAGTACTTAAAAAAGGGCGCGCGCAGCACAATGGCGCGACTCGAGCGTGCTGCGGCACACTGCCACCATGAGCATGAAGCTTTTCACACGTGTGCCGTGTTTCCCGCCGCAGCGGGTGTCCAGCCTGCAGATGTGGCCGCTCGCGAAAGTTGAGCTCATGAACTTGCGCTTGCGGGCCATACTGCGCCGAGAAGACAGCTACGAGCGGACAAGGGTCGAAGTAGTCTTGGCCCAGCCGCAGCCCGCAGCATTTGTCGACTTTCTGCTGACGTTGCCGTGGACTGTCGGGCGGGTCTGTGCAGGAGCCTACGAGCTCGTGGACCGGCTGCAGATCGTGTCTTGCGTGCTGCTGGGAGACCCACGCACGACGCCACGACGACTGCGCGTCACTTTCAAAGTTGCGGACGCTTTAGATGAGGCCGCAGCCCGAGCCAAACTGCAGCGGGCTGTCAGTCTACAGCAGTCCATGCCTGTCATGTGGCTGCGAGAGGACAGCCTGCTGTGTGTGGTTGCAAAACCCATGGTTGATTTTGACGCGTTTGACCAGCCGTCTTTGCCGTCTTTGCTTGCTTGCCTTTTACCGCCAGGGCTGGGGCTGGCAGACAGGAGCTGCGCGCTCCTTGGCCCACGGGTCCTTGCCGGAGTTTCTGCAAATGACGCCGCATTCTCGAACGAAGCGGTTGAGAGACGAGCGTCCCCAAGAAACGTAGCAGCTGCTGGTCCTTGATGCTCATGTCCGGTGCGCCAATTCAGGTCACCGGGCGTGCTTTCACTGAAGCTGTGAGCGTTCGTTATCTTAAAGCCTGACTTCAGACCTACAAAATTACTAGGCGTGTCGGCGCAAGTAGAGCAGGTCCAGATCCGCTGGAGAAGCTGTGCAAAGGATGTTGGCATGAGAGCAAAGCTAGAGATAAGTTTTGACAAAGTGCTGCGCTGTCGCCCATGGCAACTCGTGTCCTTGATGCTCATGTCCGGTGCGCCAATTCAGGTTGCCGGGGGGTGTGCCTTAGCCACTGTGAGTGTTCGTTGACTGCCACCGCAAGTGCAGCCAGCGTCAGTTTGGGGTTGTAACCGGAGCCACTCGAATGGGGGAAAGGTAGGGCGCTGATCTTTTGCACACAGTGTGTTGAGGCCAAAGATGCACTCTTACGGTAGGGCGGTCCCTGCTTTAAACTTCCTTTGGTTTTGACCCCTTCTGTTAGTTTGGGATTGTCTTCTGTGCACAGCGTGTGGAGGCCGAGAAAGAAAAGGAAAGAAAGAACACAAAACAAAGAGACAAAGAAAGAGCGCAACCAAACAAAAACAAGGCAAGCACTTCCAAAAGGCACTCTCCTCGCTTTAGAAACGTCCGTCCACCGGCTTCGCCGGCTCTACTGGTAACTTTGCTTGTATGTCTGCAGCCAAGGTTCATGTGCGTTTGTATGGGTTTGATGCGTTCGCAAGTCAGTATGGCCAAGGGACAAGAGCCGTGCAGCTGTAATTTGTTCCTGCCGGTTGGCTAGATGCTACCATGAGCAGCTGCGGTTCAGCGAAAAGGATGACGGCTTGCAGAGCAGAGAGGAGGCTGGAGACAGAAGCGTGAAGAGGTTTCACTGCTGCCAAGCAATCCTCATCGCCGCCAGATTCATCACCCCCTTTATGTCAGCCCTGACGCGCGCAAAATTTGCACCCACCATCGTTTTTTAGGCTGAAAGCTTGAGTCATTGCGCGGTCATCTTGCGCAAACAGATCCGGACTTCTGTTTTTTTCCTTATGGTTTCTTTTGTAGTAGCCCTATCAATTTATACATAAAAATACTTGGGTCATACTGTCGAGCTTCCTTCTAGCTGTCATCAAGAAGAACACGGATGTCGGAAGCGTGACACTGTTGCGCTGCTTGTCCTTTGCCGGACAATTTCTTGATGGCAGGTTGGAGGAGTATGTCATTCAGAGCGGGCGGAGGTGGGTATTGGGTGTGGATGGTGCCCACGCTGTCAATGTGGGCCAAGACCGCAGCCTAAAAATATCTGAAGTGGCTGGGCAAGCAGCTGTTTCCTTGAATGAGCAGAATCTGCTCGAGGAAGTTGCGGGGAAACAGGAGCGTGACCAGCGGCGCTTGAATGCTGCAAGGGGTGGTGCGTGCTCACTGCCTTCAGCGTGGAGCGAAGATCCAACAGGCTTGGGGAAACTGTCCCGGCGGATGGAGTTGCTGAGGACTTTGGGGCAAGAGAATGCTAAAGGAATAGGGGAAGTATAGGGGATTCGATCAGAATACTGTGAACATATTTCTAGAAGAGTTTAGGCAATATTAGAGGGAATTTTGAAGAGCTGGGGAAGTCCTGAGGGAAGCCTGAAGGGGAATATGGGAACACTAAATAGGAATGCCAAGGGAAACCTCTACATACATACATGTATATATATATATATATATATACACATCCATTACAGATGGCCCTTTAAGCCACAAGAGGAGACTGTGAAGCGCGCGCTGTCCAAAGTCTCCACACCCTTTGGTGGCTACGATGTGGTGAGGAACAACTGCCAGCACTTCGCCGTGTGGGCCAAGTACGGCAAGAGGACTGGGAGCTCAAAGTTCAGGTCTCGGGCACTGCCTATTTTCGTGTTTGTTCTACAAACTGGGGACAAAGGACGCGGCTGATTTGGTGGTCGTTGCGGGTCCACAGCAAGTCAAACAAGCCCAGCTGGAAGAAGAGGTCAAGGGACCCAGGTGGTGTTGCTCTCCCCAAAAGCAAGCAAATCTAAATGTTGTGTGCAGGGGGCAATAGCCACAAGTAAAGAACCGCATAGTGTGGTCCTTTAAGACTTGTGAGCCGCGTTGGCGTTGATCTTTGGGAGACTGCGTTGACTGAACATGCAGCAAATAACGCGAACACATGGGTAGGTTAGCAGGGTTTTGATTAGATGCGGTTGCTTAGATGCAGATGTTTAGCATGCAATACGGGAATGACCCTTATGAACCATCCTTGTGGTTCCCTACTGTGAACCAGCAAGTCATGTTGGCTGCAACATATTCCGACCTGAACCAAGTCCAAGCACGCATTCCAAGTATTGTGGGTTTCGGAGTGAGGAGCACGAACAAAATCCAAACTTTTTTCCTTTGGTGGTTTTGAACACCACGTTTTGGACCAATGGTTCATGAAATTGTTCTTTAATGTTTGCTTCTCCTCCAAGACCAAGTTGGGGGACATTTAAAGAGACCCCAGGAGGATGATGCTGGCAGACGAGGGCAAGATCACCTTGGCGCGCCAGGTGGGCGCAGCTGGCCTGGGTTTGCTTCCACCACCCTGGAGACATGGCGGAGGTGGACAGGGCCGACCATTTAGGCCCTTTGAAAAGGGTTGTAAACGGCTTTCAATTGGACGCCGCCGCCCATAGTTGTGGTTTTGACACGAACATGACCCCGACTACCAGGCCTCCAAACAGCGTTTGCCTTTAAAGTCAACCGCTGTGGCTTCCCTGCAACTCTGGGAGGTTGTATTTTTTCTCCTTAAGGATCCTGAAGTAGAATTAGGCCCCAAAGGTCCTTTTGACATCCCTAGAGCTACTCGGGGTGTGGGGAACCCCGAGTTCTCCATACCAGGCCCCAGAGCATCCGAAGATTTCGTAGGGTGCCCGTTGTTTTTTTCCTCTTTGGGGTCCGGTTTGGGTCTACGGTTCCTTGGCTCCCGGAAGGGCTTGAAGCCCATGGAATCCATTTCGCCCTGGGCCGACCGCAGCGCCATCTTGGTTCTTGAGTAACTTTCGCGGTGATCCTTTCAAGACCTTTGGCACTGGCGAAAAAGAGCGGTGGTTTCAATCCTGTATGTGTGTTAAAGGAGTGCCGTTGGCCTCATTCAAGCGGGATACTCCACACTTGAGGGAGCTTTCTGGAATATGTGCCTGTTTCTCTCTTAGTTCGGGACCGCTCCAATTGGTTTCCTTTTAATTTCCTGTCAAACCATCCAACAAAGGGTCCCCTACTGTGACACACTCGTACGATGATATGTTTCCTCTAAAGGCACCGCCTATTTTGTGAGCAACCCTTGCCACACGGTTTGCGGGAAAAGACGTTGTTTTCCGCTGACTTCCTGGGTTCCCTGAGTTGATCGTTTTGGGAAAATAAGATTGGCGAAATTAGTGGCAAACAACAAACAAGTTGGGTGATGTTCCGCCGATCCACCCAGATGATGAAGTTTTGGAACTGTTTTCAGGTGTGTTGTCATAGTGTTCCATTCACCTGCACAAGGTCGTCCTGCTTTGTTTATGCTGGTGCTCAGTAGCGAATCACCTCAGGGTTTTGGGAATGAAGGGGATGGTTTATCGGTGGTGGTCATTGCTATTCCCTTCAGACCAGAAACCTTTTTTTTCTCGTTCAAGTTGTTCCGTTGGCGACCAAGTTACCATACGATCCCCAGAAAGGTATGGAGTGCCCGTAGGGACCTTCCCCATGCATGTTTCCTGTGGGGTAAGGGAGCAGTGTACTTAGGCAAATGGAGGTTCGTTTCTTGGTGCATTCTTCAAGCTTCGGGAATATGACAGACTCTGACGAACTTACTCCTGTTAAAGTCAACATGGACCCCCCGAAACACCCATTTGCAGAACCCCCAAGGCACACTTTTACCGAGAATGCGGAAAAGAGCCGACGCTTTGCCCGCTTGCCAAGGAGAGCCATCTCCTGGTTTGCAGGGCTCCTCAATCTTGCCTCTGCCGATTTCAGCGGCACGCAGTTTGGGTCCCGCATCCAATTTCAGTGATGCCGGCTCTCAAAGGTTTTTCTTGAAGGGAACCTTCATGGCGCTCGGGTTTCTGCGAACCGCGCCGAATGACGAATGCCCTTTGCCCAGACCTCCAGCGGGGCTTTTCCCGTTTGCCTTGGTTGTAGCGGGTTTCCTTGTTTTGAGCGGGGCTTGCTTGTCTGGAGCGGGTTTGCCTTGTTTTGGGCGGCCTTCAGCATCCAGCAAGATATGGGTGTCGAGTTGCTGTGGAAGCCCACTGGAGGTCTGGGTTTGAAAACACCCCTCTCACCCGACGGACGCCCGGTGGTTGGGCGGCCCAGGAAATTGACGGCGCCCAGGAAAGACACGCCACGCTCGGTCAAAGTGATTGCGAGAGCGGTTCGAGCCAGGTGTGACTCCTTGGTGCATGTGTGTTGTGGTCAAAACACGCTTGATTTGGGGTTGATTGGCTGGTCATGAACCTTTTACACTTTTTTACTCGCTTTAGTCTTAGTCAACCATTGTACGCCCACCTCCGAAGGGAGATGCCTGCTTGCGCAGTTGCTCGAGCATTTGCTGATGCCAAATTGGGGACTGTCGTTGACCCCTCTTTGAATTGGGCGTATTTGGGCGTAACAGTCTCCGGCCCACAAGATCATGTCAGAGGTCAGAAGGCCATTTATTTCATTTCTTGGTGATTTTAAACATCACTTTTGAAGGGCCCAAAGGTGAGTTTCCCTTGGGGGTGAGTTTAGAAACACTGTTTGGAATAGGGTTTGTATTTTGGGGAACACACACCCCAACACAAAACAACAAGGGGCTTCGGTTTCTTTTTGGTTTCCTTACGACACCAAAACGGGTACCCTCCCAAAAAATACGCACACCAGAATGTTGGGCGTGTTGAATATTGGCTGATTCAGGGGATCTTGGAGGTCAATCAAATGACTGGATTATCCTTCTCGGACCTGACTCGATATAAGGGGCTAAATCATTGCACGCTAACTTGAGTTTCCCATGGTCATGGAGTCAAGGCCTAGTTTACTTTTAGAGTACCGAGGCCCCCCTACCATTCAGCCATTAAAACGGGTATCTCTTTCCTCATGGCTATTGGGGGTTTGGGGAGTCCTTGGGGTTTTCTCATGACCTAATCCCCTGGCTTGCACTTGGGCTAAACTCGCGCGATGTTTCGAGGTTTGCTGTGCCGTCGTTCACCATAACATTGGCTGAACTCGCCTCTACAACACCTTTTCCTGAGCCGAAAGGCTACCTTTGTGGGCTGGGTTTGACAAGTACTGGCATTCCCCTACCCGTGGATAACTCTTGACCCCTCTCGGGGTACACGGCGAGGCGGTGTCGATTCGTGACCATGGCTTCCCGGCAGCAATGCGGCGGATTCCAGCCGGTGGATTGGAGTCTCTGTTTGACTCAGGAAAGACAGGTTGCGGGTCTTGCCTCACTCTCCGAGTTCCTGGACTTTGAACTTTTTGGGAAGACCATTCTGAAGGCAAACCAATATTTTGGTTGCTTGTTTTGGCGAGTCCACTGAGGAAGCGAGTTGTTTGCCCCAAAAGGACACCTCGAAGGTGAGGAAACCACCTCAGATTCGTTTCGATGCTGTCCATCAGGAGCTCAAGCCGACAAACCGCTCCCACAACATAAAAACTAATGTGTTACGTGCCCGTACAGGGCTAACATACTGCTAGGAAACCACTAGGTGGCTGGACCCCATTTGGGTTAAGTCGTCCCCTTCCATACCTACATACAGGGATAAGGGAAGTGTGACATCGACTTTCACCCTGGTGTAATTGGGCCGGCTGTTCTTGGATGTTGCTCCCACGTAGCAAGTGAGACAATTCCTTTTAGTGGTCCCATGATCAGAATGAGTTTACTCGGGTAAAACGAGGTCGTGACAAAGGCTCCTTAAAGATCCTGCTTCAGGCTTGTAAGTAGCAATTTGTCCGGATCCAAGTTGAGTGATTCTACCAAACCAGCTACACAGGAGTTCGTACAGGAAGGCGTTTGGAAATCCAAGTTCCTGCAAACAAGTCATGCTGGTTTTTAGGAGTCATGAGGTGTTGGCCTGATTTTTGTATCGGCCATCAACCAAAAGGCGAAAACAAGCAGCAACCAAAAGCAACGAAGTTGAAGCCCCCATCTCTCCAGGCTGGCTTCTTGTCGCGTCACGTCACGTCCGGAGGTGTTACTGGCTCTTGGAGAGAGCACGGAGAAGGAGCCAGGGCCCGAGGCTGAGGCGAATCGGCAAATCAAATCAAGCGAGGGAATCGAAGCGATCGGCCTGTGTGTGTGTGTGTGTGTGTTTCTTCGAGGATACTGTCGTTTTGGAGTGGTTGTAATAGGCCAAAAGGACAACCACCATTTGTTTGCTATTTTGAGACATACCCCCACAAGTTGCAAATCATCATTGACCGTCCCTGGAGTCAACATATGCCTGAACAAAATAATGGGGTCATGACCCGAATGACCCGGAATGGAAGACCCCTCCTTAATTGTTTGGACGTCCATTTCAGGGGAGGCGTCCCTTCATTCGTGCAGTTTTCCAGTGAATCCGAAGCTGATCAATAGCCCACTGATTTCCCAGATGGTTCGCGCTTTGTACTTGTGGGAAGACAAATTTAGTGGCGAACAAAAGCGTTCAGACTTTGGGCTAAGACATGGTTTGTGCAAAGTCTGCTCCAGAAGGGAGCAAGGAGTTCCAACCGAATTCGATTATTTCAAATTGGTTATGAATGAAGAGTCGGAACCACCTCAAAAGTGGTTGGTGGACCTTGTGATGTCTTTCACTTTTTCGGGTCCCTTCGTGTTTTGGGGAATTCATCAAACTACATAATCATCCAAAAAACAGGTGCAACTCGTGTTCACGGGAGATATGTGCAACAACGTGACAATGTAGTCGTAGGGATGGCGCAGTTTGGATGTTCCACCATGGGGGGTGACTCGTCTTTTTTAGGTTGGCCCCCAAAAAATGTCTTCGGAGTTGCTTGTGGTTTCCCTTAAAGAACACCAAAAAGGAGGACCCGACAAAAAGACCCTTCCATGTCTCCTTACCAAAAGGGAACCACCCCCGATTTGGTCCGGTCCTCCGGATTAATCCGAAGTTGACATTAGCTAGGGCTCCTTTGATGGACATCATTTAGGTGGGGAAAACAGGGTCCACCAACCACTTTTGAGGTAGTTCCAGCTCTTAATTTATCATAGCCGTGTTGGTGTTTCTCAAAATAGGGGTCCCCTTTTTGGATGGTTTCAAAGGGGTTCCCGGAGTATGACGTCCATGGGGTTCTCATCTCAACTTGGATGTTCAACCCACTTAGCAGGTAGGTTATGAGCATGGGTACAACTTGGGCAACTGGGCTTAGCCCCATATCACCATAGTTCCAACCTGCCCACGTTTTTTTGTTTTTAAACGTCCAAGACTCCTTCGGCGAGAGGCGGAGGCGGAAGAGTGCGCCATTTGCTTTGAGCCGGGGACCTTCGTGGACCTGCCCTGCTCATGTGACCCGGACAAAACTTCTGGGAAGTGATGCCATGTGGATACTGTGGATGGACGAAATCCTGCGCCACCCGAGAAACCCTGGGATGATGTTTCCCAAGGAAACACCAACAAACAAAGTGTTTCCCATGGTTTCAAAGTGGTGCAGGATTTCGTCCGTCCGCAGTAGGGAAGCATTCCATTCCGCTTGCCGTTTCCCATAGGAAAGCAAGGGCTTCCCACCTGTAACAAGCCAGAAGGCAAACGGCAGGTGAACTATTATGGCGGTAGCTAGGATCCATCCATCTGGATAGGAAAGCAAGGGACATGGTCCGCCCCAACACAGGGAAGAACACTCTCCTTGCTGAAAAGGGTGTACTGTGTATGCACATCCATGTTTGTTGGGTTCGAGGGTAACATTTTAGTTCTTTGGGCAAGTGAGGAAACCACTTATTGTTGGCTTGTGAACCAGGCTGATTTGAGCCACTTGGGCCTCATAAGCTGCTTGAGCTCTATGCTATGTGAAGGACGACAGCGAGAGAAGCGGGAAGTTGGTTTTCCAAAGCACCAGCCAGAAGAAGCAGAGCTTTGGCGGGCGGGTAATGGCGGATAAGCTGGGCTCTTCAACGGCAATACTCAATCTTTCGCTTCGGGTACGAGCTGATTATGTTTTTTTTGAAGTGGGGCTTCATCGTTTTCCTGTATAGTGTCCTGTACTGGCATCAACATGATTAGAGCGAGGTTTTGGGGCACTATCAAACCAACTTCCCTCGTGATCACAGAAGAACGATGTTTGTAGTTATTTTGCCCGTCATATTATATCCTTCAGCCATTCAAAAGAACAACTGAGCGGGGACAACAACGCCTGAGGTGTCATCAAGTACTGCACCGCCTGCTGCCTGGCTGCTATTGGACCTTCAGTCTGAAGTAAGCTTGTTCCTTGAAGAATCATTTGACCTTTGAACGTTGTCCAAGTTCCATTAGAGGCGGGTTTAAGTACCTCCTCAGCTGGTACTTGGGCACTTCCTGTCCGAACATGTACATTTGACAACATGTTTTGGAACAACGTGCAAATTTGGTCTAGCCTTCAACCTTTCTCAGGAAACCCTAAACGGATTCTAACAAACGGGTGCCAGCTTGCACCAGCCAATCTGCTCATCTTCCAAAAGTAACCCTTGTGTTTGAACGCTGGTTTTCTGTTTGAACAGGGGTCCTCAATTTTGGATTTACTACCCTCAAGCCTTTCACCTCGGCAACAAGTGTTCAGCCTTTTCGATCGAACGCAAGGCTGGGATCGCGCCCTGGCCACCTCCGTGACGGTCCGGGGCAGGGCGCAGTGCCCGTCCTGCCGCGCCGCCTTTAAGGCCCATTGGTGCTCGATTGGGTGCATCTTTTTGGTGTGTGTGTGTGTGTCACATTGTTTTCGTTGTAAGGGTTCCACAAGGCTCCACAAGGTTTCACAAGGGTCAAGGTTTTGTGGTTTGCCCTGAAGAAAATCGGAGCAGTAAATTGAGGGCTCAGAAGATCGCTTTGCTCATGGGCGGAACGCTAAGCAAAACCGAAATCAATGGTTTTCAGCACATCTTCACTGTTTTGACTTGCCCACTTGCTCAGACAACGCAGCGCGAAATGTTGGCTTTGTGCCAAATCAGATCACGTTGCTGCGGGACTCACTGTGCAGCAGAGTAAATGCTTGGCATTACTGAGTATTACTTGCCAAGGGTTCCACGAGGCTGCCAGGGCTATGGGGTAAGGTTCCGAAAGCGCTCACGAGGTTTTCACCAGGTTCTGTAAAAGCTATGGGGCAGCCCTGAGGAAAGGTTCCAACAAAGTTTCACGCTGAGTTTGGTTCGCCGGGCCTAGGTCGGGGCCCGATTGCACCGTCGGGTTGCACCGTTCGGGCCCGATTGCACCCGTCGGGGCCCGATCGGGCCCGGATTGCGCCGTCGGGCCCGATGGGGGCCCGACTCAGTCGGGCACTGTACCAAGCTGGCATCACCTAGTTTTGCTAGATACTGTTGTAAGGCCGCATCCTAAGGAAAGCCGGCGTTGAGCTATAGTATGGTGGGAGCCCGCTTGCACCACGGGACCATCGAACCCACCGTCGGGGCCTGTTCGGGCCCCGATTGCACTGTTGGGCCCTGATTGGGCCCCGATGGCGCCGTCGGGCCCCGATCAGGGCGCGATTGCGCTGTCACTCTTAGATTTGCTTATAAAGTTATCAGGCGGCATCCTCAGCAAAGCCGGCGGTGAGGTGAGTCCCGGGGCGGGTTCTGCGAGGATTCTGGGAGGGTGTGGTGCTGTTGGGGATATTGGCTGAGCTTATTTCTCTTTTTTTTGGGGAGTTTGAGAATGGCTGAATTGTGCTCAAGGTTGATGTGTTTAGGCCCGCTGTTTGTATTGTAGCAAAGGTCTCTTTAATCAGCGGTTTGTAGGGCATGGTTTTGGTTGCCATTTGTTTGGTGAGTTTCCTTGAGTGATGTTCTGATGCTCACTTCCAATGGAGAAGCGGAGAAGCGGAGAGGGCTTAGCGCGAAATTGCACTTTGGCTTGAATGTTCATGCTTGGAATGTCTTTAAGATGGTGAATGCTTGGACGTATTTTTGTTTCATGCTTGAAGCATGTAGTGTTTTTGTTGTTTCAAGGTTTGATTGGAGCACAATCAACAAGTTGTTGGCAGCCATAGATCCCGATGGAAATGATGTCCACAAGCGGGACAACACCTGTTGGTTGACTCGGATGGCCGACGAAGCCACGCAAGCCACGTGACCGAAAGGTGCACTTGTCCAGGTGCCTTGGTCCCATTTCCAGGGGTCTAAGCGGAGACTCGGGCAGATTGCAGCCCAGACCCCCAGTGGGAAGCGTTGTCTTGCCTTTTTTTAACGAACCGACCCAAAACGTGGCTTTCTCTTTTGTTGCGCCCCAACCCGACATGTTTAGTTGTGAAAAGGGTGTCCTTTCTCCTCCATGCACATCCAGTGTCGGGGCACATCGCACCAATGGGAATGAATGCCCCTTTCATTCCAAATATTATGTCCCTATGATCATGACTTGAAGTGGTTTTACAGTACTTGATGCACTTGGACAACGCATAGGTAGCTTCGGACCACGGTTACAGCAGGGAAAACTGGGATTCGTTAATCAAAAGTTACTACGTGGTTTCCCTTTTGCTTGCTGGTTGAAGGGAAGCACAGGTAAAGCCACCAGGGTTGGTAGGGTTCCGTAAGTTACTTGGTAGAGTGTTCTTGGTAGGGTTGTCTTATATGTCTTATCATTGCCGGACTCATCTTACCTTTTTATGTTGTTTGCCTTTATGGTGTTCCTTCATTCCGCTTTCAAGCAGCAGCAGCAAAGTTTGGAAATTTGACTAAGTCTGGCCAATTTATTGGACGGGTTCTTTGGACGGGTTCTTTTGTAAGACTAGGGTTGCTAGGGGGTGCTGGGGTTGGTAGGTTCCTTTGTACGGTTCGTTGTTCCGGTTCCTTATGAAAACTCTTGGCTTGCCTGCAACTTCCTGCAGGAAACTCCACAAGAAATTCTTGCTTTGTGTGGGTTTGCTTTTGGCGAATCTTTCTGTAGGAGATTTAGTGGGAATGTTTTGTGGCAAATTTCCTGTAGACTTTCCGGTCGCTTATGAACTTGGCAGTTTCTCCCAGTCGCCCGTCCCAGCTCGACGCTCGTTTCCGACTCGCGACTCGAAGGTGGACTTTGATACGGCCAGCGCCAGCTTGGTCTTCTCCAAGGACCCCCTAGGCACGAATTGGAGTTGATTTTTCGTGATATGTAAGTCTGTTTTTTTAGGGTACAAGGGAAACCAAAAGAATCCCCCACCCATTTGGGGTACCCCTATTTTGAGCCAAACCCATGTGTTAAGCGAGTTACATGGACAGAACAGCCATGCACAAGCATGTTTACAGATTTGTCAGATACCGTCGGCTAGGCTGACTCATCATCATCATCATCATCATCATCATCATCATCATCATCATCATCATCATCATCATCATCATCATCATCATCTACCAGTGTTGGAAGTGCTTGTACGCTTTTCCTGGTCTCAGCCCAGATAGGCTCCGGGGTGGTCCGGGGCGGCCCTGAGGTAAGGTTCCACGAGGGTTCCACCAGGGTTCCACCAGGGTTTCACGAGGGTTCCACGAGGTTCTGCGAGGTTCTGCGAGGGCTGCGGGGTGGTGCGAGCACTAAAACGAGCACCGCATGCTGTTGGGGATGTCACCTGAGCTTATTGGGAAGCGTGGGAGGATGGAGGACTTGCTTCCAATGGATTGTGTCAGGTGTCAGTTTCATGCTGCATGGAATCTTACTTGCTTCACAGACCCAACAAACCACCTGGAACTCGAAGAAAGCCACGCCGCCCAAAGGTGCAGCGCTTATTTGGCCCTGCCAATTTGCCAGTTGGGGGTGTATGTTGTTGAGGATACTTGTTTTCCATGTTTGTTTGTTGTTGTTATACCTGTTTTATTTTTTTTGCGGGGGGGTTGTTGAAGGTGACTTAAACAGAAGTCACATCATTGTGGGGGATACCGCATTTTGAGACGAACGTATTTTGTTTCCGTGTCATCCCCTCCTTACATGAGAATCGGGCTATGGGCCATTTGCCAACTTGCAATCTTGCGCCAGGCACAGCCGCCTGTGATTGGAGAAGCCAGCTTTATGAGAAGGCCGGCCGTCTTTAGGAGGTGGTCGAAGGAGTGTGAGCACGCTGGACGGCCAGAGGCCAAATACCCTGCAACAGGGTGCCTTAAAGCATCGGGTCCATCAAATATGCGAGGTGAATGTATCCTTTAAGGAACCCTGGAACAGGTTAGTATTCGGGCCAAGTCTTTTTGGAAAGGAACGGCGCCAGGTATTTTTGAGCTTTTCTTTGTGTTGTTTCGCCAGTTTCCTTGTGCATGCGTCAGCGACTTGGGAAAGCCAAGGAGCCCCATTCAAGATGTTGTGCTCCGTTTGGGTCTTTGGAAGATTCCCTTTTGACGGTTGTGGTAAAGGCAAACCCATTTCCCTGCTGAGCAGATGTTGTTTTTGTTGCCCAGACATCCAGTTCTTTGGAAGCACTCCTTGTTTTCTTGTCATGTGGGTCTCTATGCAAATCAAAAGGCTCCGAACAGGAACCAAGAAGATTTGGTAAGACCTTCAGTGATACCAGCTGAGTATGGAAATGCGTTGGAGGCAACGGGGCGCCTTCCCATTTGAGAGACGGGCCAAGGCTTCGAAACCCATTGAGGTAAACCTGACACGAAGCGCTCGCCCATTTGAGGGGATGGATAACCAAACAAAACAAATGGTTGACTTACCGCTAAAGCAATCTGGCCAAACAGCAACCAGGCTGGGGCGCACACAACCCATGAAGGTGGGTCGACTGGAGCATGACTGATGTCAAACCAAACCTGGCCTCAATGATCCTTGTGGTTTTCGTTTTTCGGGGACCGCAGCAAGCCTTTGGTTTTCGGTTTGAGTGCCCCAGAAAGCTGAATTGAGCAGCGCGCAAAGCGGTTCCCATTGGCCCTTTGAGTAGGTCCAAACCAAGGCCATCACATGTCTCTCACCAAATCCCGTGCGAGACACTGTTTCACCCAGGACGAACATGGATTTGGGTCGGGGTCACTCTTCGGGGGCGCTTCGATCTCGCTTGCGAATGTGTGGAGTGTCCTACTACCTACTACATATTATGCATTGTAGTGAGGTCCATATGGGGGACCCCAAAGAACCGGTTGGTGTTTTCCCCCTTCAAACAGCACCACAAAAAGGGTAGCACGCAAAAAGAACACACCCCAGTTCGCGTGACGCCATAAGCTCATAGGCTCGACTCCGTTTGGTGCCCCAATATAAGCCTTTATAACTTACCACCATCATGGCGCCACTCGTTGCTCTGCCCCCAAGAAAACTGACACAACCATCATGGTAGAACCAAAGGTCAGTAGGTTTGGGCACTCAATTTGGTCACCTTCAGGTGCGGCACGTGCAGATCCGATTGCTTCGAGGCTTCGGTGCATCTACCGAGCACCTTGGCGAGTCCGAGTCGACCAAACCGGGGAGACGGGGTATACTTTTGAAGAACCATGGGTTGAATTGTGAGACATCTTTCAGAGTCAGGAGTCTTGGTTCAAATTGAGGTTGTTGGCTTGATTTACCCGCATAGGTAACGAGGGGCATCTTTTACAAACCAAAAGGAGCCTTGCCCGTTAGCTTCTGTGCTGGCTGGATCCACTGGGCACAATGCCTAGGTTTTGTGGCTGTGAAGCAACCAGGTTGTGCACGGGAAGTACCGATTTTCTTTTGTCGGCGGTTTGTGTTCAAGATTAGTGCGTTTGCCCTTGCGTCCCACGGATTGCTGAATGCAGATTGGAATTTGGGATTCCCCCCAAGTCTTGAACCCAGTTCTGCTACATCAAGACACCAAGGAGCCAATCTCCCAGCTGTGGTCGATGCTCGCTTCAGCCGCACTGTGCCGCGGCTCCAGGTAGTTTGCTTGTTCGTTTTCGTTCGAGGGAATTGGAAACTCAACGGAAATCACCGAATTAGGAGATCCCTTCATCTTGACTAACTCATCTCTGTTTCAATTGCTTAGGTTGGTTGAGGCATCACCTATTTAGGTTGGTCAAGAGGAGTTTTCTTTTGGCAGGGTGATGCTGAGCGGGCATATGATGACATGGGTTTGTCTCCACACGGGGAACTTCCCCTAAGCGACTCTCAAACACCGCACCGATCAACAAACAGACAGACATACCCAGTCACCAATGTTTACCCCTTAGAATGTTCTTCACCACTACCGTAGCTAAAGTTCAAACAAGCAAGCAACCAAGCAAGCAGGCAACCAACGAACGGACAAGCAACAAGTACAGAAAAAACGAACACGACACGGCCCATTTCAGACATTTCAGGACCGTTCTGCCCGCATCACTTCGGGCGATCTCATTCTCTATGAGACGTTTTCGGCGTAGATGCCCTTCATACATATCACAGGGGTTGGTGGGGGGAACAACCTAGAGGCATGCCCAAGGCTTTTTAAGCAGAAACCCAAAGGGATACCGTTATTCCCCCCTTGTGCTCACCTTAGGCTTCCCAAAAGTACTTTACCCACTAGACCTAGGCTAGCTATGCTACCTGCTGTGGATGGACGAAATCCTGCACCACCTAAGAAACCCTGGAATGACTATTCCCCTGTAAATACCAACAAACAATGGTTTCCCATGGTTTCAAAGTGGTGCAGGATTTCGTCCATCCACAGTATGGCTACCTGCTACGTATAACGGAACCCGCGAATCCTTTTTGGCCAACGAACTGCGTCCACCTTGCCAGAGCCTGTTGTTGAATTTGATCCAAACATGTCTGTTTCACTGGTATGACTGCATCATTAGGATAGGTTGGATGACGGCCCAACGTGAGCTATGTTGGCGGAAACAGTGGAGGGGAATAGAAGTATTGTAGGCTGGCAGCTGAAATGGTGAAGCAGTGCAGTGGTATGCTGCAAAGCAGCACAGCTGGCGGGAAGTGCGCAACCCTGGTTGATTACTCACTCTTATTATATAGTAGGTAACCAGGGCTTTGGTGCTTTAGGTTTTACATGATGGTTCCCCTGGTGAATTAGCAACCATAGTGGTAACCACTGGGTAAGGCTTATTCGACATGTGGTTAACCTCCCATGAACTCAGGGGTTGCCATTTCAAGGTGTTTGCGGCGCGGAGCTTGAGCACATCAGCAGCCGTAGCCGGATCCTGCGCCTCTTGGAGGATCCGACATGGTCGGTCGGTTGTTCGGTTGGATCCGGAGCCGTAAGAAGCAAACGTCTCCTCCAACAGTTGCTCTTATATTTTGGGGTAGACTTTCCCTTGAAGAGTCGGAGCAGATCTCATTTTCTGAAATAATTACCCCAGGTGTGTGGGCCAAGTTTTGTTGCTTGCCCTCACCAACTTCAAGGTTGATGGAGAACCCACGTGAGGACATGGATCCCGGCTGGCGTGCGCGGATCGGCAGCGCCGACGAGATGGTGGAGCGCTTACTAGCGCCTCGATGCATCAAACTCGTTTGATCGTTTCCGGTAGGAAGACACCCGGTTTGTTTATTGTTTGGGAGGACACGCTTAATTGAACCAACTGTAAATGTTGTCCGTTGCTCATGTGGGCGTGGCTCCTTTTTTGGAGTTAGAAGAAGCCAACCATTTTGGGGGTTCGGGGAACCCAAAGGTGGCTCTCTCTTTAGTTTCCGTGTAAGGCAGTCCCAAAGTGGGTACGCTCTGAAAAGACTGGACTAAAACAAATCCGCTTCTTTGTTGCACAAGCCTGAACCAGACTCACCTTGCCGTTCTTCTTTTGGGTGTCCGTCATTGGCCGGCACCAAGCTTTCTTTGGGGGGGTTACATCTGGCCATGCAGGTTTGCATCGGTTGAGTTCGCCCAGCCACGTTTTAGGGGACCCTGGAGTGCCCTTTTTGATCCCATCGAATCCGGTGGACTGGACTGCCGGAGGGCTTCAACCGTGGAATCCCCTGGGCTCAAAGTCTTGGACTCCATGCAAACCAGTAGCTGCCGCTGGACAGGGACTTGGGAGCCGGAAATTGAACCACTCGAGTGGTGTTTGGGCATGTGCCAGAATCAACTCAGATGAAGCAGGTTTGCACTTCTTCCTGCAATCTCCCTCTTCAACAGGAAACAAATAAGTTTCGGCAGGGGGTGGGAAGATTTTGAAGTGCTGTGTGATAGCGAACAGAAAGTTGAACATGCCTAGAGCTTCCATCCTAGTCAGATGGGTTTGGCTTTGAATGATGGGTCGCTCGGGCAATCAATTGTTCGCTTAGGATAGGAGACTCCAGTTGTTACTTTGCGGTTATTGAAAGTGAATTGCCCTTTTTCAAGGCGCTTTTGAAGGGGCCAGCCTGAAGGCTTCGCTTTTTGTTGGGTGTTGTGCAACGAGTAACCATTTTTGACTCTGGGCTCCATGTCACTTTCAATGGGGCCTCTGTTGAGTTGGACAACCCCGGCGGGCTTTTGCTCCCTCCCACCAACCCTTAACCCTGGTTTGTTGTAGGTTGATAGAGAATCCCTTTGTATTTGTGGCGGAAGAAAACCTTCCATATGTCACTGTCCAAAAGAGTTTTTGGCCTCCAGCGGCTTAACACCAACATTTGTTCAATCAACCAGCTGGTCCCTTTCAACGCGAACACCAAAAGGATGTTTCGTTCAGAGTTTCCACGACCATTCAAAACGGGGTCATCCCATGTCTTGGGTCAGAAGGAGACTCCAAGTAGCTGTAGTACCAATTACAGCCTGAACCCGGGAGATTGGCCCACTTTGCCTCAATACCTCACCAAAGATCCGATCTTCACTCCTTCACATCCGGGGCCGTGGTTTTACCCAGCACTTGGCCCACCCCCAGCCGTTGGCAGTTCTTTCAAGCGGTTTTTCCACGAGGACAGCTCGTTGGTCACCTGTGACCTTTGCGACAAGGTGGCCATCCGCCCTTCGGCCGGGGTGCGCGCGTCTGAGCGCGCGGGCGTGTGTGTGTGTGTGTGTGTGTGTGTGGGTGTGTGTGTGTGTGTGTGTGTGTCTGTGTGTCTGTGTGTCTGTGTGTCTGTGTGTCTGTGTGTCTGTGTGTCTGTGTGTCTGTGTGTCTGTGTGTCTGTGTGTCTGTGTGTCTGTGTGTCTGTGTGTCTGTGTGTCTGTGTGTCTGTGTGTCTGTGTGTCTGTGTGTCTGTGTGTCTGTGTGTCTGTGTGTGTCTGTGTGTCTGTGTGTGTCTGTGTGTCTGTGTGTCTGTGTGTCTGTGTGTCTGTGTGTCTGTGTGTCTGTGTGTCTGTGTGTGTGTGTGTCTGTGTGTGTGTGTGTCTGTGTGTCTGTGTGTCTGTGTGTCTGTGTGTCTGTGTCTGTGTCTGTGTCTGTGTCTGTGTCTGTGTGTGTCTGTGTGTGTGTGTGTGTTTGTGTGTGTGTAGGTTTGTGTGTACCTGGAGTGTGTGTTTTGTTTAACAAGGAAGCCAGAAACCCCTACATGTGGGGGGCTTTTGGTTATAAGAAGCGTACCCCTGTGTGTGTGTGTGTGTGTGTGTTTGTTAAGAAAGGGTAGTGCTATGTTTGGTATGCCACCCCCAGGTGAAGGCGATGCTTTAGAGCAGCTTTCAGGGTTTGTAGGTTGGTCCGGGGGCTGAGGATACCACGGGCGCTTATTTTCAGAAAGTGGTTTAAAAGGAAACCAGACAACCACCCTTTTTGGGAGTCTATCTCGGTCAAAGCTGAATGCCCATCCCTAAATTTGGACAGTCTTTTCGACCCCAGCGAGCTTATGAGGGGCTTGGATACTTAGTAGGCAAGGAGAAGCTCGTTTTTGTTTTCTTGCTTCAGGTGGTGAGTGGTCAATATTAGCGGCCCTTGTTGACACCCCCAATACGAAGGCGACTGGGTCCAACAAGCGTTGACAACCCCCCAGGTGATGAAAATTGATTCCGTGCCGGTCAGGTAATTATTTGCTTTGCGGGTTGCACTGGCGAAGTATCAGGCAACCCCCAGTTGGTGGTTTCTATCGTGCTGGGATTGGTGGTTTCGAAAGTTAAACCCCTGGTCCTTGCAGAGGCTAAATTGCACCCCTAGGACAGCGCCAACTGGGGCCTTTCCAATTTCCTTGCTGGTTCGATCAACTCAGATTGGATTCCCTGTTTGGATGCCAACCAGGACTTGGGAAAGGTCCCTTTGAGCACAGAAGACCTCCAAAGTGCGGCCTGGGTAGAGAGAAAGTGCTTGGAGCAATGACTGGAGCATGAGCCACAATAAAAATATGGTAGATGAGGTTTTCTAGACCGCCTTAATCATGGATAGGCAAATGGCTGGCCGTTTATAAGATTTGGTGAGGCTTTTGCACCCTCTTTAAAGAAATCCATTGGTCCTGGACTGACTCAAGAAAAAACGAAAGCTTTGCTGATGACATACGCGAGCGGCGAATGTTCATGTTGGATGGCTAAGGAAGTAAGGGCTTGTGGACGTGCAAGAATGGGCCGCACACCGTGATGCACCCCGCAGCCTACGATGTTTGTGACTCGGCAAACCGGGCTGCAAGAGTTAGAAAGGCGCCGCACGACGATGAGATGATGGCAATATTTTATCATTGGCGATGGGTCAACTCAAAGCAGTTGTGAGAAGCACAAAGTCAACGACTCGATTTCCACACGGCCCCCCTGGCGCCAAAAAAAACATCAACGCGAAAACCGCAAGCATCTTGGGGTCTCAAAAGGGCAATTCCTTTGTGAGGTGCTTTTAACCTTCCACTTTCAGGGCCGAAGCCTCGCTGGCTTCCTAGAGATCTTGATGCCTCGCTCGGATGTTTGTCGACTGGCACGCTTGTGCCAAGTAAGACCAGCTGCCAATTGTTTGGAGTTGTTAGAACAAAATGAGGCGTATGTGTGGACAAAAGACCCCTGAATTGTTTGGGGTTAATGGGGGCCCCTACCACGACACATGTTTTGCGGGCATATTTGCTTTATACATGTTGCCCCCCCACGTGTTGAGCACCTTCCGAAACCTTTCGAAAGTCGAATTGCCAAGAACTTATGCGGACACACACACACACACACCACCCAAAGCAGGTGTCGCTATATTTCCTTTGTGAGCCAGTTTATATTTTTTTGGAGCAATTGTGCTGAGTGTTCTCTCTTGGGCTCATGTTCAAGGTGGAAATGTATGGGGAGCCCTCCAAAATGATCAAACATCGACGGGCCCCCCTTTTTTGTGGTATGGGGAAACCAAAAGGAACACCGAAATCCATTTTTGGGAGTCCCCCAAAAAAAAGACAGACCCAAATGTAGGAACTTTTCGTTTGGTTTGCTTTGGTTTCCCTTTGCCCAATCGGGCTCCATGTTTACTCCCCTGCCGATAGATGGGTTTTGGGAGCAACAGTGAAACACCACGAATGCGCTTGGATCCTCCAATGGGTGTTCCGTTTTCGAGGGTGCCCCTTTGTTGCGCTTGTTAAAGGCAGCCAACAGGAGAACCGAGATCCATTTTTCGTGTCCCCTCAAAGAAAAGACACACGCCAATGCTTGCCCAGGGGCGCATCCCCCCATACTTCCGCGTTCAATATCACTGGAGGGAACTTGAACTTCAAGAAATGTGATGTCTAAAGAGTCTAAAGTTGGGTTGGGACTCTCTTTAAAAGGACGTGGGCCCTTTTACCCTTTTTGGGGGGAGGGTTCCCCTGCTAAAATAGACTACAGAAAAAGAGTACCCTTATTCTAACCTCTCTACTGGAGGACCTAGATAGGTTTCAACCCTGAATCGAGCCTCAGACCAGCGTAGACCCCGAGAGATGCGGTTTGTTGGCCGGACACAAAATCCAAGTCCACCAAAGAGTCCCGAGGGTCGCGGATCAAAAACTCACACCTCATGTTCGAGGTGCTAAATTCCCCAACGTCTGGTGAACTCCCAATGCAAAGGGGTGGATATGTCTCATTTGGCCTTAAATCCCGAGGTTTTGTTCACGCAGCAAGCAAGCCCGGGGGTATTTGCTCTTTCATCCACGAACATGGACCCACCTCAAGGGGGAGCATTTGGGGTACCTGTATTGTAGATGTGGGCTTAGGGGCGCCAGGTGCCTGCCAATCTGACGGCCCAAATTTCCGAACCCCCATAGGGGGGACTTTAGACCCGCAGCGAAAAGTGGCATCGTTTCTGATTAAGGGGAAACATTAAGGCAACACAAAACAATTGAAGGGCAAATGGAATACCCTTCCTCCCACTAACATGGCACCTGAGGGGGGTACCTGGAAGATCACTTTCCACCTGGAGGGAGCCCCTGTCAGGTGCCAGGTTAGTGGGAGAGAGGGTAGATAAGTCCAAGAGGGGAACCTGTTTCTTTTTTTTGTTTGTGTCCGCTCAGGTGAGTCTTGCTTCGAGAAGTACTCAGGAGTCCATTTAGAGATTGGTGATGCCAAAAGCGCACCGAGGACCGGCCACGGGGTGCTGGGTGGTTTTAAGATGGTTTCCACTACCACCGAAACTAAATACCCCTTCACAGAGTAGCTATATGGTGGTGGTATATCCTGTTGAGAAGGTGGATTGGCGGGTTGTGGACCCATCTTAGACTGGGGAAAGTGGTGAGAGAACCAAACAGACAGATTCTGACACAAAAGTTGTTCAAAGGACCCTTGATATCGGACTTCACCAACTTGTTCGCCTTTGCCCCTCTGGGTTTCTTCACTTCCCCTTCAACCAGCAATCAACAAATTGTGTCTGTTTTTTGGTGAGGTTCGAAGTCTGACAAGTTGAAAGGGACAGCACACTTATGTGTTGTTTGAACCTCAGAGGAAACCATCATGTAAAACCTAGAGGTAGAACACCCGTTACTATGTGAGTAAGCGAAAGTGCTGGGTTTGGACATTGCATCATGAGAACCTAGCGCCGGAAAGGGCAAAGAGTTTCTACCACGAAGTTGGACAAATCCTGGCGTTGTCGAACTAGAGGTTCAAAGAAGTATTCCTGAAGGGGTTGTTCCCCACGGTTCATTCAAATGTGGGTAGCGTCAGGGAGAAACGACCATGCAACAACTGGGTCTATTTACAACTTTGCACGGCTCTTCCGTGGAGCCGGAGACAGCCTCAGCCCCTGCAATCTGCCGAAATGACCATGTTTGACCTTCGCAAGGCGAGCAACTTTTGGGGGGAAGCCCCACTATCCAAAAAGAATCTTCATGACAGGTGTCACTACTTTTTGATGTTTTCCCCTTGCCTTTCGTGACGCTCTTGCAAAACAATGGGTCCCCTAAGCGGCGGATTCCTGCACGCCAATCAATCCCGAAGGCGGGAAGCGGGGAAAGCACCACCTTGCTCCTAGATAATTGGAATGGGCGTTTCCGGACTTGAACCCCTGATTCTTGTCTTGCCAGCTTTCACAGAATCAGGAAGGGTTTTGGGATTGGGAATGAAGCATTTAGGACCCCCTTAAAGGAAACCCCTCAAGGGACGGTTTATGAGGGGTGTTTTCCTCATTTCCGGCTGAGAACTTCAGCAAGTTGTTGAAACTACACACCTCAAAAACAAAAAGAAGATGAACACATGCGCTAGGCACACGTTCGCAAACACTCGTCAACATAGAACAAACACGTTCCTGAAAAAGGGCATGCGAAGCAAACAAATGCCACACACACACACACACAAAATCCACATCTGTTTTCTCTTGGCGGTTCCCAGCCATACCTGAAGTGGTCGACTAGAAGTTTTACTTTTGCCAGGGATTGCTATTGGGTTGGAGTTGCGGCTTCAACCTTTTGGGAAATGAAGGATTTTCCATTGAACCCACAAGTCAAACTTTTGGGGTCAACAGCAACCAAGAACGATTCACTAAGTGTCCGGAAGCCGGTTCCCTTTTTTGCTAGACGGAACGATTCCACCAGGAAGTCTCGATCTGTGCTTTGCTGGGACCGAAGTCGAGTGGGTCAGACCTGCTGCCAGGCGCTCGCCGCTTTTTTTTGCGAAGGGTATGTGACAAACCTTGCGGGTGCTCAGCAGGGAATGAGGGAATGGCCCCTATAAACCATTTCCTGTGGTTACCTTCAAGGGAATGCCTAGGTTCATTCCCAACACCCTGGGTCATTCCCTACTGAGCACCAGTAGGGTTTGCGGGTGTTTTGGCTTTTGGTCTCCTACCATAGGAGTCCCATAGGAGTCCCACATATTAGGAGACAGGGTCAAGATCGGGGGGAGTTGTGGCTTCCTGTGGGCTTCCATTTAAGGTTAAAAGAGTACCCTCAAACCAACATTTCCAGAAACAAGCTTCGTGCATCGTGGTAGGGTGCGTATTTTATTTTGCCCATCCCGGCCCTAGTGGAAATCCTCTGAAAAAGGGCCCCCCTTACGTGTTTTGCGCCAATACTAGGGTCCTCAGGCAAGAAATTCCAATCCGGCAATAGTTTACACAAGGTTGACGAGTTATGAAGCAGAATCCGAAAATCCGAGCTTCAGTGTCAGACAAGGGTCGTGGGCAAACCCAACCCTGGCCCCCAAGTGGCGTGGCGCCTTACCTCCGGATTTCGGGGCAAGACGGAGCGGATCCCTAGAGCAAGGGACATGTTTGGAGAGGCTTCGCAGTCCGGAGCACCTGGAATGGAAGAAAGGGTTCTGGCAAGACCCCACTTGGCGCAAACCCGCCTTACCACTTGGGCAAGTCAACGAGATTCTGAGGAAGCACCACAGCCAGCTGGCCGTTCGTGCCAAGCTCCCGGCCAAAACAGATCTGACCTTTGATCAGCTCGTGGCCCGAGATGAAGAACGTCTCAGCAAAGCAAACACTTGCAGCAACGGCAAGCGTGCAGATGCATCATACAGTGAAGCTGTGGAAGAATCCGCTGAGCTGTGATGCAGAAACAAGAGACATTTGCTCCCCGGAAACGGTGTAAAACGATATAGGGACCCAAAAAAAGGATGACATGATATGACATGTAAATTAGTTGTTTTGTTGTTTTTTCCGCTCGCTCAGGTTTTGCAGTCTGGATGACCCTTGAGTCATGGCCCCATTTTTGAAGGGTCATGGAGACTCCAGGCAAATGCAGCCAGGTTTAGAAGGGAAATCCAGTGCTTGCTAGCAGCCCTTTCTGTCAGCGCGCAGTAGAATCTGCTTGAGTAAGTATCGTGAACCGTCTGTGTGATTTGGTTCGCAAAAGTTTGTGTTGTCCAAAGCAGGTGAAAGGGCAAGCCCTGCTCTGAGTGTGTATTCTTTGTATGGACGTGTTCCGCTCGTTGCTCGACGGATGGGGGTATCTTTGTGGCTTCGTTTGTTGTCTCCATCTTGCCTTTGCTCGAATGTGTGTGGTGATTCGTCATTTTGCCTGACAGTTGGGCAAAGGTCAGGGAATTGCTTCGTGGTTTGGATTGGCTCGTGGCTTTGAACCCCTGGATCTATTACGTAAACCCCCGGCCCGGAACACCTCACCAAGCCACGTTGCAAGGGAATCGACCGGAATCGACCTTGTGGTGTTCTTGTTTTGAGTCCATTTGGGGTCCAAAAGGACCAAGTGAGAAGTAACTAGCGGGCCCTAGGCATGGAAGTCTGAAGCTTTCGGAACCCGCTTCAGCGGGATTCCGAGAGTCCTTTCGTTGGAAGCCCCTAAAGCGAAGATGCGCTGTTTGGTTTTGCAGCCAAAGATGCCAATCATACCCTTGTGGCCTTCTAGCAGTCTAGCAATGAGGTAGCCAGAGGAACCACCATTCAAAAAAACAAAAGAGCATGGCCAGGTACTTACTTTACTGACTTGCCTGGGATCCATTGGGCAATGCAAGATATCATTCCTCCTTCCTAAGAATTGTGGAGTGTTCCATTGCTCGGTGCTTAGAAATTAGCCCCATAGGGTAACCCAGGTTGTTGTACCTCCAGGTTTTACTTTTGATCCTTAGCTTCCTCTAATTGCTTATTAGGACGGTAACATGTCATCGATGCCTTTCCGTGCGCACCTTGTCCCCGCCCCCCGCCAGGCCTGCAGCGTCGTGCTGGGGGCTCTGAGAGGTCGGCAACCTCGCGGCGTCCTTAGCTTTCGAGAGACGCAGCCAAATCAAACCAGTTCGGTAAGTGAAGGGGTGACAGTGTCCAGAAGCAATGTGCGGATATCCAGACGTCATTTTACCCTGGATTCGAGGTCGAATTGAAAATTCCAGGCTTTGATGGTGAGTCAGAGAGGCGGAGGCGCACCAAAGCGCGGTGGCCAGTTTTCATGCTTCAGTTTTTGAGTGGTTTAATTAAGCATCACCTTCCTCAGAGCCCTGCCGTGCTTGATGGTTTGTTTTCTTTAGTTTTCCAAGTCCCAAGGGGGCCCGGTTTTGGCTGGTTGTAATCAGAACCCAGCGGAAACGCCCTTATTGCGAGACAAACCCATTGGGAGACCCCTTCAGGGTAAATCACACGTGTTGTTCCTCAGAGTTTCTCCGAAACCATTCGGTTAGGATCCTCTTCAAGCCTTTTCCTGGCGGCCTGCGGGACGGGGGTTGACTTGTCTCGTTGGCCGTTTGGTACAAAATTGCCCCCGGAGCTTAACCTTTCAGCCCGTAGCCCAGCATGCTTAATTTGTTAAGCCATAGACTAGCATGTTAATCCTCTTACACTCCTCTGGCTTGACTTGTCTTGGTTGCTTTGCAACCTTTCAGCTTTCAACTTTTCGAGCTTTGTTGTTCAAACAACTTGCACAAATCCAAGGGATGCCGGTGGGCTTTAAACCGAAATGATGGATTTGCGAACACCTCAGCCAAATGGGCCTGGTTTTTGCAAGAGTCCCGGTCCACCCTCCAAAAAAGCAAAGACAAAACCGGTGGAAGTTGAGTCCTCGCGCCAAGCTTGTCAACGGCACTCGATTCCATAATGGTTTACCTTCTTGGGGTTCTTCCTTGCAGGTTGATAGCAACTCAGTTCACAAGCCATCTAAGATGGCTTCCGAGGTGCGGGAAATCCAATCGGACTTTATAGGTTGAGAAGAGCATTTTAGTGGCAAACAACACGTTTAGGCCTTCCCTAGAGCAAAGAACAACATGTTTTTTGCATTGGTGCTTTTCTCGTGAGCAACAATCAACGTTGACTCCATTGACTATCATTTACGGTAGTCAAGGAAATGACATTGGGCACACTCACCAAATTAGCGTAAGGAAATTCACCATGCATCATCCAATCGGCCCCGACGGCGTGTCCTGCACTGTCTCATCAGAACATTGACCATCGTGAAGAGGGTCTGGCTCTACAGCCCAAAGCAGATGTGGCTTCAGCGATGCGCGAGGTATCTCGCGGAGATGTAGTCCACCTTGCCCAGGCAGAAATTCACTCAGAGCACTATTTGGCGTCAGGGGCTGCCTACCTTGGTGAAAATCGTCAACGGGTGTACGAACCTCTTTTTTCTGGGTCCCCCAGAGCAATGGCTGCTTTTGCCTGGCTTGAGGAATCACTGGGCGCAGTCACTTTTCACAGCAGAGCCATCTTGGATCTTTCTTGCCGAGACTTTGTCGAACTTCCCCCGGCTCGAATGCGAACCTTTGAATTTACAGGGGGCATTTATAAATCGAGGACCCCAGATATGGCTTATTTTCCTTTGGTCCAAATGATGGTTCTTTGGTTTCCTGTTGATTTTCCTTTGTCCGGTTCTGCAAATGGTGGAACCTTTTTTGGTTTCCCTTTTACACCAAACAGGGGTCCACCATTGAACCACAAGCCCCTGCAGGCTCAGCACCGTGAACCGTGTGCGACTCAGGCAGCATGCTCGGCTGACGGCAGGACGGGCAATCGGGCAATCGGAAGGTCACTTGGATTCCACAAATCAAGGGGAAGGAGAATCAAAAGGGCGGATATACACACCCATTGTCGCTGGTCTACGTACTATCCCCTAAACTTAAGCCCAGTGATGGGACACATGAAGGGACGCCGAACAGGGTCTCTACTTCAGGTCGGGGCCGAATTGTTTTCCCAGTTGCCCTTTCTTTGGGCCACATGTTTTGACTACTTGTTGTAGAGAGACTGTCCAGTTTCGCTTCAGGCACTGAAATTGGCAAAGATTGCGGGTCTGCCATCAGAATGCATCTGGCAGGACCCGTTTTGGCATGACGCGTGACAGCCATCTGTCGGGCCCCGGACCTCGGTCAGGACCCGCCCAGCACGGACGAACGCACGCGACCGGCGACTGCTCGGCGGGCTCCGACAGTGCCAGGTCGCAAGGCGAAGCCGCCTCACCACCTTTTTTCAAGTCAAGGCGGCCCGCAAAGGTTGGAGGCCCATAAGTTGAAGCTTTGTCGCCGAGAGAACAACGCGTGTTCCTTTGGTTCGAGCAAACACATAGTTTTGTCAGTTTGGCACAAAGTGGCAGGTTTCTCATTGGCGGTCTGTGTGCTTTGTGGTTCTTGCTTTTCGTTCCAAGCGCTTACAGACGTGGGCCTTCTCACCGGTTCTGGTGTGAGAGCCTTTGGATCAGTGGCGTGAGTTCGTTTGAAATGCTTGCGCGGGCGCATCTCCCGCGGGGCCGGATGAGAATGTCTAGCCCAGGACGTGTTGCGCCGCGCAAGGTTGCGCCCAGAACGTGGGCTGCCAGTTTCAAGTTGGAATAATTCGACGGGTAGCGCCAGTTTGACCAATGACCGAACACAGGGTTTGCCAAAGAAGGTTTGCCCGGGAGACATCCTGCTCCAGTATTGTGGTTGCTTTGCAAGTCGTTTTGCGGAATCCTATTGGCAAAAAAGCCCGGAAGGTACAATTTCCTGTGAATGGAACCTCCTCTCCATGAGTGTGGTCGCTGTTGGTTATGGCCCCGGAACTGCATTGAAGCCACCGAGGCAATCCAAATGTATGGGCCATACTCCCACGGTTGGTTCTTGGTGTGATCTTAGCCCGGAGACCTTTTGGAAACAAGTGGATTTCCTGATTCCATGGCGTAGGGTACTTGAAACCGAATTAAGACCAGAATAGTTGACCCCTTTGTATTGCTCTTACCGCCCGCACCACGTGTTTGATTGGAGTATGGGAGTATCGGAGGCCTCGCAAGGCTCCGTTTGGGTTCCCTGAAGTTGCCCTTGACGACGGGAGTTAAACACGTTTCCTTTACAAACTTGCTGGGTTCCTGGACGTCGCGCTTTGACGTCGCGCTTTTCGGGACAATTTGGGGGCTAGCGTTGACAGTGCGGACTTCTTTCAACCATTTTCAGGGATGCAGGGACACGACCATTAATTTTATTCGGGCCAATGCGGTAGCTGCCCCAGATTGTGCAAATCCAGATCTTAATTTCTGCAGTGTTTGGACATTCCCCAGTTTCAGGGCAAACCCTCTGAGGGCTAGGTTGCGGTCATTAGCTGCCGGATGGGCTGGCTATTCCAGGGCCCTCCTGGTCTCGGTGTTCCCCTCGCAACCTCGCACTGCTGACAATGTGTCCGTGACAGGCAAAAGGAGCTCATGATGTAGGTCCGTTCCGTCAAGGTCCCTTTCAGTTGCTAGAACAACGGCATATTCAGCAAATCTCTTTTGACATGATTTTACAGTTTCACGGTTTACTGAGTCTAGAATCAAATCTCGGGGCAAGAGTTGAGGCAGATACGCCACACACCTAGGTAAAACATGAACAGCAAGCATGGGTATCAGAACATATGTATATGCAACCCTCGTATCATGTTCAGCTTGTAACCTAGCAGTTGGCTTATTTGATACACCTGTTAGCATTTGTCTGGCAGGAGTTCTGACGGTGGCTCATGCTTTGGCAGTCTTGACCGTTTGAATAATTGCTTCTTGGGACTCCCATGAAAATCAAGTTACCATGTCCGGTTCCATGTTACTGGACCAGAGAGAAGGGGGTGCTCTTGGTACAGCTTCTGCGGGGTGACACCAGTTTTGATTTTGACCCATATTTTGGGCCTTCAGGAACCGTCCTCTAGGTGTCTACTACTTAAAAATGGGTTGCGACTGCAAATGCAAATGAAGTCATGATCGCAAAAGTAGCATGACTAGGTCGCCAGGGTACCCTTATTCTAACCTCTCTACTGGAGGACCCCCGCACACTACTTCTTGCCGCTGATTGGACACCCTGCACAGGTTCCAGGTGCGACCATTTGCCATTTGTTCAGAAGCGGGCGCCAAAAGCCGGCGCAGACCTTCTGACCGAAACCTGCGCGAAGGCTTGAGAGCTCACTGCTCTTCAGCCCGCTTAGGAGACCCCCATGTGGGGTCTCCTCCAACCGTACTTTGAGTTTTGGGGTAGACAAATTTATATAACCATAATCTGAACATATGATCTTTGGTGTACCCTGGGGTTGAGCCAAGCTGTTGGGACAGACTAGCGTTGGTGAACATGCACATTGGGGTATACATTCTTTAGGACCGCAGTCATGCAAACCACCCCTCACATGAGCATGAGTGGAGGCCTTAGCTTGTACTTGGCCTTATTTACCTGACAATCCATATGGTACCTAACAGTGCCAGCCACTGAACCACGAATAACGAAGCCTTCTGCGGGGTGAAACCAAGCTTGAAAGAGAGAGATTCATGTGTTAGGTGGTTCGTGCACCATGAGGTTCTGGCACGAGTTTTGATTTGTTTTCCTGTTGGTTTGGCCAGCTTTCAGCTTGTTATTCCCCATACAGCCGAAAGTTTGTGGTTCGGGAATGGCAAGAAGGGCGGGTTTGGGGTTCCGGAAGGTTTCCGCGGCTTGTTGGGGAGAAGGGGATGACCACCTGGGCTTGGTAGAACTGTTCTCCTCACTTCTTCCCTAGAATTAGCTCCCTTTGTCATTTTTTGCTTTTTTGGGTCCCTTTGTTTTCCACTAACCAGGCAAAACATTGTTTTTTGCTGGGGTCCTAATTCCAGCCAAGACTTTGGGCCAAAGAGTTTTTGCTACAGTCCACGAGCAGAGCCTTCGAGCCTTCGCATGTGACAGTGCCTTCAGTGCCAACGTCACTGACTGAGATATAAGCGGGCTGCATCCTTGAGGTGTTCGGTTGCAATGTCCTTTTTGGAGTGGTCTTCGTTTGCAGCGTCAGATCCACTCAATACCCCCACAACACATGTAAGGGTTCGGGGCATGGTTTCAACCCGCCCTTTGGCAGGGTGGCCGTTGCCCGGGATTTATTTCTTTAGTTCGAAATGTCCAGTCACTCAGTGTTGTTCAGGTCAACTTTAGGGGACCTACTATTTTTTGACTGGCTTGAATGGGTGTGTTCAGCAAGGGTTATTTGTTTGTTTACCGGGAGCCGGGGGTCCAAAGAAACACCAACCTCTGGAAGACACCAATGCAGTTTGCATGGATTGATAATGGCCAGAAATGCACAGGAGCATTTTGTCGCTAGGCGCTGATTTGCTGTGCGATTCCGAACGCGAGAAATCAGCGTGCGAAGGGCAGAGGGGTGTGGACGTGTCTCGTGTTTTTTGCATTGCAGAAATGACCAAATCACAATCTCCTTTCGGGGAGCCTTTGGGTTCCATGTCAATTTGCAGGGTGGTCCAGTGGTGTGGTGGTAAACCATGGTTAGGGTTACTGAGAGCCTCAGCACGACCAAGCCTCTTTTGGATGAACAAGTGGTCTCCAGCACCTTAGTGCTGTCGAATTGCAGGTCCTCGGGGTGCCCTGTGATAGCCCGGTGCTGGATCGATCCTTTCATATTCCCACCAACTTGTTGGCGTCTTTGGAGCGACTCGGTTGTAATGGGTGAAGAGTTAAAAGCAAGATTAGCCGTCAGTTGGGCATGTCTTGTAAAAAAAGCCTAAAATGGTTGTATTCCCTTTGGCTTCCCTTATTAGAGACCATCCAAAAAGGCTACCCTGAAAAAGGACACACCCTCTAGTTAAAGCGAGTCGCTGTCTTTGCGTTGGATTTGTATGCCCATGTGTCCGGGAAGAAAAGGACTTGCACCTCATACTTCAACAGTGGTCCTTGGCTGCTGGATGCCTTGTTCTCGAAATCCATCTCGCACCCTGCTTGGAGTGCACAACACATTTGATGATCTATGTTTAATATTGCCAGACTTGGCTTTTAGCTGTTTTTCCCTTTGGGTTTCCTTTGTTGCTATTCCTTCGTTCAACCAGCAACAATTGTCATGTTTGCAGGTGGTCTGGCCAAGCCAAGTGGTGTCTCAAATCCTGAAACTCTGGACTTGATAGTTTTTTAGGAACACCATGTTGGTGGTAATGTAAATGGACAGTTATGATATGCTTCAATCATACTCGAACCTATTGTCCTGGACTTTACAGTACGTTGTACTTTTTGGGACAATCCATGCATTAAGTGAGGTGTCCTTTCGACGGTCAATCAGAGCTCGCGCAGGAAGCTCGATGGCACCTCCTCCCAGATGGAGAAGCGCGACTCTTAGCAATGCCTGCGAGCATTTCATGAAGTCCCTAACGGCCTTTTGGTTTCCTTGAAGGAACTCTAAGGAACCCTAGACCTCTCCACTACCCACCCCACTCGTACCCACATCTCCCTTACGGATTCCACTGGTATTGGCCCCGAGTTGCCACCCCATGATGTGCGTCCTTTATTCGGGGATCATATTCTTATTTCACGTGTTTGGAGTATTGCAAGCATCTGCAGGCTTGACTACTACGCGGCCTGAAATACTTTGAATGGGGGTGTTAGGTATACGTTGAAACCAAATTAACTCATGATCATAGCGGCATAATTGAAGAAGTATTCAGCGCCTTAATGCTGCAGAACGCAAGTTCAATGCTTGAAGGGCACCGAACAGGAATATGAGCATCGTCTCCTACCATTTCGATGTTGCACTCTTTTGTTGACCCCCTCTCCCGGTTTGGGGCCATTCTAAATATGGTGCCCCCACTTGTTCAGCTACAAGTGCCTGAAATGTTCCTGGCTCCATCCATTTGAGAGGACAAGCTTTGTGGCCGTGTGCTCTACCAGTCCAGTGGCTTCCATCCTTGTAACCTCCCCATGCTTGTCGGTCGTTCTGTTGAACAAAAAGGAAAACATCCGTTTTCTCAGGTTGGATGGTTGTTTTCTGGGAGGAACGGGGGAGTTCCTTCTGGATCCTTTCTCGCTTGCTCGTTGATTCCTTCAACATTGCCGCCAAGTTGGTTCCAGTGGACCCCAATTCACCCAAGCGACCCGAGGGTTCTCAAGGACAGGGGTCTGAGGTTTTGACGTGCGGTTCATTCGGATTTCATGTGGCTATGCCATATTCCGATATTCCCATGAATCCAACTGCAAAGAGGGTATGAGCCTTGGATGAGACGGGTATGTTTCGCCAGGCAGGATCTGAGGACTCATCAGCGAATGTTTTTGCGGCCACCATTAGAGTGTGCCAAGAAGAAAGCGATGCTTGTTCTGAAACGGAAGCGAAACGAACTGTCTACCAATTCTCTATCGATGGTAGTCTTCCACAGCCCTGTCCACTTCCACTATCTTAGGGAAGAGGAAAAGGCACAAGCAAAAACCCAGAAATAGAAATAGAGAGAGAGAGAGTCTACTAAAACCCACGTAAAAAGGCGGCGGGTGTCTTGTGTTTGGGACTGCCAATCCTTAAGCCATCCCAAGCTTTGACTATGCCTCATAAATGGCTTAACCATGAACACGTCCCGTATGGGTGCTAGGTCGCGCTCAGGAAGTGAGGTACAGGTTTTGTTTCCGCCTCTAAGACGATCCACTTCCATGGGGCGTGGCTGTTTGCCCCGCGCGTGTGCTTGTCACGGCCAAGCTCGGATCAGCCAGATCCTGTTCAACCGAGAGGCGGCTCAGGATCGTTCCGGCTGGCGTGGGGCTCAAGTAGGTATTAAAACAAAGAGAGGTGGCTTTCTTGAGGCAAAACATATGGGCAGCTCGAAAGGACCTCGCACAAAGGCATGTGTGACTGTGGGCCTGAGGATTCCTTTGGAGTTCCCCCCTTTGCTCGAGTTGAAGTAGCACACAATTCACCCTGCGACTCCGTCTTGGGGCTGTGCTTCAAAGAGCCAAGAGCAAACCACTCATTTTGGGGATTCCCTTCTTTCGGAGACACATCTGACTTTTGCTGCACCCAACATGGTTAGTGGGCACACCTATCCATGCAAATGATCACCAGCGGATTTCCGATCGTGTCAACGTGACTACCATGGTGGTTTTTCCTTGGATCTCCGTTCAGGCCGCCCACAAAATGTGCTGGTTTGCTCGTTGTTTGGTGGTCAAAACAATATTTGCTCGGCCCCCAAAACCAGCCAGACACACCCATGTGCGCACGCAGAACCGAGCGTCATTTTTCAAGAGATTGCCGTGCAATGGCATGGCGTGGCTTCTGCTTCCAGCGTCGGCGTTTGCGAATCTGCTTCTCGGGTGGGTAGACTTGAGTTGCACCCAAAAAGCCCTGGCCATTTAGAAGGTGCTACCTGGTGCAAACAAGGCCTGGGGGGGTCTCAAAATGTTGGTTCCCCCCCTTAAAAAGGGGGTTCCCTAAAAATACGACAGAAGCCTTCACCTTAGAACCAAAAGTCAGCTCGAATACTGAGCGCCCTTCCTGGGCGATGCCCCGCCGTACCACACCCTTTGAACGGGTTGCAAAAAACCAGCTCCAAGCGCACCAAATGCGCGTTGTCAAAAAAACACAATAAGCTCGGGCGATATCCCCAACAGCACCACACCCTCCCAGAATCCTCCATCCTTACCGCCGGTGTTGCTGAGGATGCCGCCTTGTAAAGCAAATCTACGAGTGACAGCGCAATCTCGCCCCGCAATCGGGGCCCGATCGGGGCCCGACGGCACAATCGGGGCCCGATCGGGGCAATCGGGGCCCGATCGGGGCCCGACGGTGCAATCGGGCCCCGATCGTCCCGTGGTGCAACCCCAGCCACCCATATTATAGCTCAACGCCGGTTTTCCTTAGTATGCGGATTGCAACTGTATCTATAGCAAAACTAGGCGATGCCAGCTTGGTACAATTGACGGGGCCCGACTGAGTCGGGCCCCGATCGGGGCGCGATGGCGCAATCGGGGCCGATCGGGCCGAAACGGTGCAATCGGGCGGGCCCCGATTGCACTGTCGCCCGGTGAACCTCGCAAACCGTTCTCACGCAACTTTTGTGGAGCTCAGCGTGAAACTTTGCTGGAACCTTTCCTCAGGGCTGCCCCATAGCTTTTGCAGAATTTGGAAAATTTCTGACCTCATAGCCCTCGCAGCCTCGTGGAATTCTTGGAACCCAAAGCCCACCAAGCAGCAATGCCAAGCATTTACTCTGCTGCACCGTGAGTTCCCCGCGACGTGATCTGATTTGCCACAAAGCCAACATTTGCCTGAGCAAGTGAGCAAGTCACAAAACAGTGAAAATGTGCTAAAAACCATTGGTTTCGGTTTTGCTTAGTGTTCCGCCCATGAGCAAAGCAATCTTGATCCGATGGCTTTTCAGACGACGGGCGCATGACACACCCTTGGTGGAGCATTGTGGAGCCTTGTGGAATCCGTGTGGAATCCTTGCAGAGCTTTGTGGAACCCTGTGAAACCTCAGGGCCCACCAGAATCTTGTGGAACCCTGAAACCCTCATACAACCTTACCTCAAACCACCCCGGACCACCCCGCAGCCCTCGCAGAACCTCGTGGGACCCTGCTAGAACCGTGCTGGAATGGAACCTTACCTTGCAAAACCTGGTGGAATTCTGGTGGAATTCTCATGGAACATTACCTCAAACCAGCCCGGACCGCTGGTGGAACCTTCCCCGGACCACGCCGCACCCTGGAAGAAATTGGTGGAACCCTGGTGGAACCCTCGTCCGGAGCACGACGGGCTGGTGGAACCCTCGTGGAATCTTACCTCAAACCACCTCGGACCACCCTGCAGCCCTCGCAGAACCTGGTGAAACCCTGGCAGAATTCTGGTGGAAATCTGGTGGAACCCTCGTGGAAGGTACCACCCCAGCCCTCGAAGAAATTGCTGGAATTTTGGTGGAACCCTCGTGGAACCTTACCTCAAACCACCCCTCGTGAAACCTTCCTCAAACCCGCAGCCCTCGAAGAAATTGGTGGAACCCTGGTGGAACCTTCGTGGAACCTTACCTCAAACCACCCAGACCACCCCGCCCTTGCAGAACCTGGTGGAACCCTGGTGGAACCCTGGTGGAACCCTGGATAGAACCCATGCAACGAGTTGGTCACCCAGCACTGAAATTTCATGTAAGTAGAGCTGCAGGGAATGACATTAGTATGACTCATAATATGAGCTACCGCTAGAGGTTCGTGCAAGGGATATGAATTGGAGTCGAATAGGATAGCCAAAACAGAACCACGTGTTTTTTGTTTCCAAGGATTCTGCATGACCGAAAAGCCTCCAAATACCAAGACGCTCTATAAAACGAAGGATTCAGAATGAGATATTTCAATGCGGCAGATTTGCGCATTTTGGCGGGGGCTCATATCCTGGTTTGACAGTTTAGCAATCAACTGACCACAAAGTGTCAAGTAACCCTTCATCGGTGGCTTGGATCTGTGGTTTGGGGATTTGAGCCCCTGGTTCTTATAGAGGGTAAATGGGAACCCGCCCTTTTTCGAGGGACGCTGATCATTGCCAATCCGCTTTGACCCCTTTGATGTTTACAAGGAAACTAAAAGGAAACTAGGGCTGTCGTTGCCGGTTCTTCTTGTCGTTCTCACCGAGTTTGGACTTTACCTTGGGCAGGTAAACCCTTTGCGTTCAACCCGAGGTCCCTCTCAAAAGGCGCCTTTTGGCACTAGGGTTGGTGGGATATTCTCGTACTTTTTGTTTTGGCTGGGGGTTCCTTTGGACCTTTGGGGGAAATATCAGACCCTCAAAGGATTGTTTCTTTTCTTTAAAGAAATGAAGGGGACAGGACACATATCATTTTGATGTTGTGTGTACAGTCAGACCCCAAGCCCCTTACCTGCCTGAGCAAATCCACTGCTTGGCTTTCAGCTCCCCATTCGCCGGATTTCTTTCGCCGCTCGAAGCTCGTTCGAGGCTCCCGGGCAACAGCGTGGGCTGCTGGGGTGGAGACTTCACCTACGAGAGGCGCCGGATTTCAACCGAACGTCTCCCCCGTGTTTGAAGCATCCAGCTGATAAGGAACCGATGGGCTCTTTTCAACCACCAGCTTGGGTTGCCACCAAAGTCGTGCCTTTGCAGGGCCCTCGTAAAGTGAGCGTTCGTTGCATTCGTTCAGCTTTTTGTCGCTTGAATGTCAATGTCAATGCGATGATGTAGGTGGTGCAGGGCCCCGCATCTCCAACATCACCTGCAACATCCCCAGCATCACCTTTGCGTCCGTGCGATTGTTATTGCGGATTTGGGGCAATTGCACTGTTCCGTCCCGGAGCCCCTCTTGCTACAACATTGTTCCCTCCCGGAGCCCCAAAATGCATGCCCGCTGTTCTTGGGAGCTGCCCCGTCCCTTGTTTCACTAGAACGCGGCTTTTGTACAGAGAGTCTTTTTCGTGGGGTTGGGTCCTCAAACGTCATTGTACACTTTACGGTAGACTAAACGTGACGATTGGGATGAAGGAGCCATGCAGGTTCCGGACCCCAAAACTGTGGCTTCCTCTCAGTTTCCCCTTAGGCCAACCTCAAAAATGACCGCCTCGAAAGCACACGCCCGGCTGACTAAATTCATGAACAAAGAGTAGAGGTTTAGGGTTGAATGTTGACAAAGACAGGGATCTTCTGGATTTTGTTTTATATATTCCTCAAGCAACTCACCTACTTGGGCCGCACTTGAGCACTTTCAACAGGGGCTCCCTACGCCTTTGGGATTGAGCCCATGTCCAGTATGCATTCAAATAAATACACATATACATATATTTCTATATACACCAGGCAGTCTAGCATTGAACATGTGTATTTTCTATACATACGAAATAGTTAAAAAAAGGCTTCAAGACGCAACAGGTAGATTATGGCGGGGGCTGACCATATATATATATATATATATATACATGCATATACATTTCCAATGCGAGGTGCTGCCTGCAGGATGACGGCAGCTGTTGGGAGGGCCTCAGCAAGGCCGCAAAGCGTGCTGACACAACCGCCAGATTTGTCATCGGATTGATACTAGGTCCCCCAGAAGTGCCCTTGTACCCTTGTTTGGGGGAGGGTTCCCCTACTAAAATAGACTACAGAAAAAAGGGTACCCTTATTCTAACCTCTCTGCTGGAGGACCTAGGATAAAGCCCTGGGTCACGGAAGGGAGTGTTCCCAATAAATGTCCATAAACTGACAAGCCGGAGTTGATAAGCCGAAATGTTCCCAAATAAATGTCCAGCAATGTCCAGCAATGTCCAGCAATGTCCAGCAACGTCCAGCAACGTCCATGAATGTCCGAGTGCAATGAGGTCCATTGGTTTCCCCATGCCCTTCAGTGTTGGCATCCACCTTGGGGGTTATTAAGGAGGTTCCCCGACAAGGGATCTCCAAAATAGGTCACGTTTTCTGAGTTTCATCAAGGATACGGACTTCCTCCAGAATGGGACACCCCCAATCAAAAATCAACCAGGGGTTGAATGGATGTTTCTGTGCAATTAGAACAACCTCACCCGAAGATTTGCGAAATCACGTACAATGAAGGTTCCTTTTCTAGGGGTTTGTCGCTTTCTTTGAATTGGGGGAATAGCTTGATTCACCCAGATGCTTGGTTGCCTGGCTGCTCGTTCCCTTGCATGTTTGCTTGATTGCTTGGAAGAAAGATGAGTGAGGATGGAAGCGGCTTCATAATTTCACCTCCAAGCCGGCTGAAAACAATCTGAAACATAGCATGGTCTCGTTCCTCAGTTTTCCGACTCCTATCAGCTATTGGAATCGCACACACACACACACAGTGAGAGAAGAGGGAGCAAAGGTGAGCCCCTTTGGGAGGGTTGGGCGCAAAATCAAATCAGTATGTCTCTTCTCTCATCTTCTCTTTTCCTATTTGCATTCAGTCTCTTCTGAGCGAGAAATGCCATGATGAAAGAACCGTTCTGATTTGACTATTTATTACACCTTTTCGGATCGAAGAGAGGAGCCGCCGATTTCCGCCGCGGGGTGTTTTCCTGCAGGACCCATTGATACACAAATGTTTGCTCGAGCTTTCATAGCAAATAAGTGCGCGAGAAACGGTAAATGCAAACACATGCAAACGCACAGATTGCGGGGCGGAGCTTTGGCTTTGCACACTTTTGGAATTGCGCCCGAGTTACGGACAATTGCGCCCGAATAGCGGGAAATTGTGCTCGAGTTGCGGGTTCGTTTTCTCTCCAGCACTTCACCAAGCATCTAGGCAACCTCAAAAAGTGCTCGAATTGGATTTGAGCAGAAAAAACGCTCGAATGCCAAAAACTGTCTGGAGCACTTTTTTGTGTATCAAAGGGTCCTCGAGGTTTTATTTTATTTATTATTATTATTATTATTTTTAAATGAGCGGAATTCGAAGGAACATCACACATAGACATGTGGTTGTTCCTACAGCCGCGATCAGCCTACGGATTGTGTCAAAACCAACTCGCGAGTCATGCTGCCTTATTTCGTGTCAAACTCTGCACAAGGACTTTGAGTTTGGGGGGTTTTTGGGGCTAGCTATCCTGAAGCAACGCCAGGCATTTTGGAGGGGACCCTGGACTGGTGCCACTTGCTTGGGACTCTCCTTAGAACTGACATTCGAAGCAAGCTGGGTTCATTGCGATTGCGTCACTCCTTGCGGGCCGGATTTGGGCCCAGTTTCGGGCTCCGAAGGACTGTCGCTTGCTTGACTTGTTGCTGTTTTTCCCAAAGCCCGCCTTAAAGAAGGCCATGCGTTTAGAGGAAAGGCCGTTTGTTTCTCATGCTAGGACATGTGCTGCTCGGGCTTCGTGGAACTCGCGCTCCAGAGCCAAGAGGGCGGAGGACTGAGCCGTCGGTTGGTCGCATGACTCACATGGGAAGCACTGGGGAATTAGGGCTTTAAATCGTTTCCAAAGTGTTGGTTTGGACCTGTTTACCCCATGGGTAACACAGGAATCGGGTTTCAATCCACTACCAGATTTCCCAAAATTTCTGAACTTCATTTTGGATGTCTTCTTTTTTTTTTTGGGCGGGGAAGAACGCAATCAACAAGTCATGGACGTGTTTGGAACCAATCCACTCAGGAAGCTATACTCACTGCTCCTTTAACATAACAAAGAGTGGCCCTAAAACCTAGAATCCAGTGACCCATGCTGGCCTCATTTCCGAAGTGTTTGGACTTCGATGCTTTTGCATGAACTCCAGTGTTCCATGTTTCTCTACAAACCGATCGGAAAAGGGCCTTGGATTCGTCTGCCGTTTTTTTGGCACCCTCAAAGTACCAGGGTCCAGCCATGTTGCCTGCCAATCTCACCTTGTGCGGGGTTCAAACACCGTCAATGGTCAAGCTGTTGTTCGTGAAGGGGATGAACAGAGTTCGACAGGGATCTCCTCAAAGATTACTTCTTCTTTTTTTTTTATCTAAGGCAATTCTTTGTGAGGTCCGAATCCAGAGGTCGTAGAGGGTCTAGTCTAAGTCGATGGCGCTTATATGAAGGGCTAAATAGTTACGAGTACTTGACTCTTAGAAACATGACTAGGTTGGGCTATAAAGAAGCGCAGAGCTGGGCCAGATGAAGCAGTGGATTTTATCCACTTAATACGCCGGTGGAGCCTGATCGGTCGGTTTCGCGCGTCTCGTAGGCGGAGCCTACTGGCAATACTCGTCCCTCGCGGACGAGGTGGATGCGAGGGAGACACAGCCGGATCTGCGGCTATGCATCTGGGCAAACAAAAGCAGGGGTTGTAGGGGGGGGGGGTGGTTGTCAAAGATTGGGGGGGCCCTTCTTGGCAAAGTCGACCCCGTTCTATTAGGCGGGGGGGGGGGGGAAGAATCCCTCCAAAAGTGATGAACCGCCACTACAAGGGGACACCCCCGTCATAAATCATGCAGGGGTTCATAAATGTGGGGTCAAAATTAGGGGCCCATTTTGGTATCCCTTTGCACTGTAAAAGAACGGCAGCACAAGGCGACACTGGGGCACCCTTTTAGTGTGTCTCTATTTTTTGTTGTTGGTATCGGCGGCATAACTGCCGTCGTGTTTCTTGCGTTTTTGGACCTGGCAACGTTGTCTGTTCCCTCAATTTTTGCAACTTTCATACAAAATGGGTTTCCCCCTTGGGTTTTTTAGGGTTTTGAGCATCATCACACATCGTCATCATCATCATCATCATCATCATCATCATCATCATCATCACCATCATCACCATCCTGATCATCATCACATTATCATCATCACACCACCAATATCATTATCATGACGTTGGGCATGCCGTCGATAACAACGTAAGTGGTCGACTGTATCATCATGACGTCGGGCATGTCGTCGGGGGGGGGGGGGGTCGTTGGGTTGGGGTGTGGATAATAACGTCTGACGTGGCTGACTGGACTGCATCATCATGACGCAGGGTGTTGTTGGGGGTTGTTGTTGGGGGTGGGGGGGTGGGGGGGTGGGGTGGGGACAATAACGTACGTGCTCGACTGCATTATCATGACGCAGGGCATGTCGTTGATGGGGCGTTTTGTGTAATGATTGGATGCCAAAGTCAGTTCATGCCAAGGCAAAGAACAGCCAGGGCCATTCAAAAGTGAGTGACTCCGGAAGAGAAGACATGTGGCGATCTCTGGGCAAAGGCGTGGCGGAGCGTCAAATGATCTGGCGGCTGCAAAAAGCACCACGGGCAGCTATTGCCGCCGTGACCTTGTTGTTGAGCATTTCCTGTAGCGGTGAGTTTTAAGGAACGCCGAAGGGAAACCAAGGTTCATTCCCAAAGCCCCGATTTTGATTCGGGAATGTTACGCATAGGCAATTTGGAGCCCATTGCATCAACAGATCCTGCCTGACCTTCCGGTTTTCGACGTTCGGATGTCGAGCCTTGGAAGCTCCGGAAGCCTGGAAGGAGAAAGGCTACACGCCGCGCCAAAGGGTCCCTTGATGAGCTTCCTCTTCCAGCACCCTCCAACTACTGCCCAGGGGAGATAGAAATTTCCCAAAAAGGACCGTAGTTAGAAAAAAACATCTTATTTGTGAGATGCCCATAGTCTAACTACTGCTAGCTACTGCTTACAACGGGGAGATGCCATAGCAGGGGTGGTAGCAATAAAGGGGTGGCAGCAAGTGCAGCAAGCGCCTCACAGCGTGTCACCCCGCGTCACCCCGTGCCACCTGTGTCACCCCGTGTCGCCCCCGTGTCGCCCCCGTGTCACCCCGTGTCGCCCCCGTGTTCCCCCCGTGTCGCCCCCGTTTCAGTTTGCTAGAACAACAGTAGATCGCGGCGAACAACAGTAGTTTTAACGTGTCATCCCGTGTCGCCCCGTGTCACCTGCGTGTCACCTTGTGTCGCCCCCGTGTCACCCCTTGTCACCTGCGTGTCACCCAGTGTCACCCAGTGTCGCCTGCGTGTCACCCCGTGTCGCCTGCGTGTCACCCCGTGTCACTGTGTCACCCCTTCGGCTTGCCTTTTACTGTTCAGGACAACGCGTAACGACCGTAGATAGGGGATCTACTGTCTTTTATTTTCGGAAGTACTGCCAAATACCTGGTAGTTCCGAAAATCAAATTGAGACGGTAGTCGGAGGGTGCTGGTTACAGATGGGTGTGTTTCGTTTTGCAAGATTGTGCAGTTCAAGGCAATAACACTTGCCGCGCATGTCCAGTGGATCCATCTACCCGTTGGGGATAGTGCTTGCAGGACTTTGGGGGTTCGATCCAGTGGCTTCCCGACGTCCCGAATAAGCTCGTGGGAGCTAAGCCACGGTCCCTTTTGAGCCCTGCACCCGGAGCAAACTGAGTTCGGGCTCCAAGAGGAAGTGCACTTTCGTGGGAATCTTTAATTTAGGCCTGGAGGCATGTGAGAAATCCAAGCCTGGGCAAAAAGGGCCCAGTGGACGACAGTAAATGTTTGACAGTTGCTCATGTATGGGCAGTGCACTTCTCACTGTTTAATCCGAGCAGTGCCACCTCAGAAACAATTTCGGATTTGAACGTGAGTCGCAATGAACACCTGGTACTAAAGTTGTTTACCCACAGAACCGAGCGAAGACTCTCCGCACCTACACTGGGAAGGGTGATGACACTGGGTGCCCTCGCCAAAGTGCCAGTAGGAGACAAAGTTACTTCCCCTGAAAAGTGGTGGTTTTCACTTTGTTTCCCTTCAAGACCACCCCCAAACAAGGGTACCAGCTGAATCAAGGTCACACCCATGTCTGGCGCACGAGCTATCGACGGCTCTCGAGTCGAGGTATGGAGCGCCGCTATACATCCCCCTGGAACGAAGAGACAAACTACCTCTGCCACAACAACTTTGTGCAGGCGGCGGCGTGCTTGGCTCGAGCCGTGGCACAGAAAGAAACGTATAGATTTCACATGCGGCCGACGGCTGAAGATATAATATGTTTGTCATGTAGCCGTTGTCGTGTATCCCGAGGGTGTAGTTTCCCTCATGTCTCCGGCCAAGCTGTATGTTCCAGGTACTTTAGCTGCTTTGTTGCCAAATACAAAGGGAGTATGGTCCCCCCAGTGTCATCTCAACTCTAGGGCCACGATTTCGGGGTATCCGACGTTCACACTTGAGTTCCGGAGTTGCTGGTGGCTTGTTAGCTTCAAAGTCGAGGACGGCACGACTGTTTTTCCAGGATGTTGCTTTGAATTCCAAGACGCGCTTTGGTTTTGTTTGTGGCGACTTGATTGTGGCTGTTGCGGCTGGTGCACGCGTTTGTGCCTTAGTTGCATTTTGGTAACACATTCAGCTTGATACATGCGCGTGGAGACCAAGCGTTCACTGCTACTAAAGGAACCGGGGATGGAACTCCTACCTTTGTCACTTTGTCACAGATATCGGGTCATTTTCCGCAACCATGATCCAGGTGTGTTCCTCTTGTTCTTTCCAGTATTTCCTCAAATTCCTGGGGTGACATCCACTGGGTTTGTGTGAAAAAAAGGGTTTCGGAGCTTCGGAGGCAGACAATGCTTGATTTCCAGTTGCCTTCCCTTTAAACCAACTCAACAAAGGAGTACTTGCATGTTCAACCAACTCGGTTAGGAGGTTATGACAATGGTTCTATCTTTGATTTCTGGGGTTCGTCCCCTTATAACAATGGCTATAACCTACCAATCCAAGTGCATTCAAAGAACCATCACGAGCAAAGCCTTCCAGTTGCACTGAGGACTCCCCGGGGTCAAGGTGATCTTGGATGTCTTCCTTGGCGGCAACTTGGGCGAGTGCGGAGGTTTCTCGGGTTGGACAAGACGTGCTGGTGCCATTGGTAGGGAATGACCGAGTCCGGGTGTTGGGAATGAACCGGTTTTGGGGATTCCCTTAAAGGAAGCCACCAGTGGGATGGTTTATGGGGATCATTCCATTTCTCATTCCTTGCATCAAAGATGCTGAGTTGCTCAAAGCGAATCGTCCTTTTGACCTTTGCTTGTTCGGCAAGGTTTTCAAAGGTGATCACCTTTTGTTTCCAGGTTGTTTGGGCAAGTGAGGATGTGTTGAATCATGAAGCTTGCCCCACCCTTAAAGAAATCTGAATGGGAAACCGAAACCTGCAGGGCCAAAAATAGTGAGCCCGTTGAACCTTTGGGGGGGGGGGGAAACGCTATAGGAGGTTCTTTCAAGACTAGCCCTGATCTTTTCACACCACTAGCGCTAGCATGGCCTTAAAGTGGATATGCTTGAGCAGCGCAGTCCTGGGAGCAAGAAAACGAAATGCTTCAAATAAGGAAGCCTGTTTTTCCACAACTTTTTGTTCGACCTCCATTTTACCTTTTGATTTATTGGGTCCGACAAACAGGTGTGTGGTTGGAAAAACAGGGTCAACCCTTGTTTGTTTGTTCAATCATATGGATACCAAGCCACTTGAATCGCCTGTTCAACATTCAGGGTTTCGGAACAAGCGACTCATATTCCACGCTCGATCTGTAGCTCGATCAACTTTGCACATTGGCAAGGGCCGCAGAAACCACACTCCCAGGTCAGAACCCCCCCCCCCCCAAAAAGCTTGTTTGCCCAATTGGTTTCCTCAGGAACTGTCCAACAAAGGTTCCCGCAACACAACAAAACCTTTGTGGTTTCCAAAATCATTGGGGCCTTTTCCTCACTCGAGTTGGACTTTCGCATTGTCTGAAGACCAGCTTTACGGGGCAACCCAACAGTTTTGGACAGTGGCCAATCCGCGGGATCGGAAGCACTCGATTGTCTCCGCCATGTCCAGGGGTTCGCAAAAAGCATGGGTGTTGTTTGGGTGTTGCAGGCGGGAACCCTGATGTGCCAAAAATCGTGGAACGAGGTTCCCTAGGAACTCACAAGCGTCGAACTATAAGTTCAAAAGTTGTTTCGGGCAAATCTAAGTTGAAAGTAGAAGCCATAATGCCCCTTAAATTAAAGGAAGGGGACGACCATGCCACCAAAATCGGGGGATTTGTGCCATCTACCCTTGCCCAACCGGTTTGAGCAACCAAGGCCAAATTTGGTATTTTTCTTCTTGTCCTCGAGGTGTGGCTGGGAACTGGCTATGATGTTGCTATGGGGGGGGTGGGCGGGGGGATGGTTCTGCAGTTTTGGACCCCAACTGGTGTTGTTTGTTGTCAGTCCTTGGACTGAAAAGTTGAAAATCGAGATCCCCCATCCGAGTCTATCCCAGGAAGCCGGCTCTGGGCTCCGTGTTTTTTTTGGGGTCATTAAAAGGGGGTTCCTGATTTTGGACAGACTCATTGGTCTTTGGCCTGTCTCCTTCTCACCCTAAACTGGGGCCCTGAACTTGTCAAGAACATGAACGTTGTGTTGATTGCAGGCATGCTTCTCTTTGCAAACGGGAGTTGGCAATTCCCAGGGCAAACAACGTAGTCACCCCTTTCCAATGGGGGACATGACCCCATTTTTAAAGTGACGCCAGGTGGATTGTCCGATCGGCTCAGGCGCCTGCACGGCCTCAGCCATGGCCTATGCTTCTCTGGACGCCGGCCGGCGCGGCGCGGAGGCTCGCACCACTCGACTCGGGTCAAGAGGATACCCCGGAGGCCATAAAGAGTTTGGCATCAATTAATGTGTGAGTGTCAGATTGTTTGAGTTTTTCATTAGTATTATTATTCTTAGTATTATTATTGTTAGTATTATGCTTAGCGTTATTATTACCATTATTATTGATATCATTTTATTATTATTATTATTGTAAGCATTTGTGTTGTTGTATAATTATTATGGTTATCATTACTTTTCGTATTATTATTATTGTTTATTTATTATGTTTATTACTTGTTTAGTATTAGTTTTATTGTTATTCGTATTATTTGTTAGTATTGTTATTATTATTCTTATTATTATTGTTAGTATTATTATTATTATTGTTAGTATGGTTTATTAGTATTATTTTGCGAATTATTGTTAGTATGGGCTGTTATTATTATTATTATTATTGTTATTATTATTATTATTACTATTATTAATAATATTATTTTTATTACTAATTATCATTATTACTTTTTGTCATTATTACTATATTTATGATTGTTATTATTTTCTTTATTTTTTTTGTTAGTATTTATCATTATTTATTATTATGCATTTATTCACTTGTTGTTAATATTTATTAACATTGTTATTATTACGTTCTTTATTACTATTATTATTGTGTGTTTTGCTTTCTTTTCATGCTCTTGTGTGGAGGTTTGTGGGTACGCGTTTGGACTTGGTTCACGGAAACAAGCAAATGGCATCGAGATGCAGTTTAAAGCCATTTGGGTCAAGTGTTTGATACGTACCCATACTATCTGAAAGTTTCAAGGTTATTGGTGGTGTGGACTTGTATGCGAACCCCTGGTTCTTGAAGAGGGTTAATATCCACCAATCCAGACCACCAATTAGTTGCAGTAGGCTTTGCGGCGGGTTTTACTGGCTGTTGGCATATATGTTGGCATCCATCTCCTGATATCTTCGCCAGTTCAAAATGTGATGAGAGAGTGAAGGGCCATAGTCTGTCCCATCACTCTCTTGTCTCATTCATTCCCCACCTGAATCATCCCCACCAAAGCATCCCAAAGCAAAATTCCCAGCCATCTAGCTATCCCGCCGAATCCCGCCCTCCCCCAGACCATCTAAGAACTTAGTCGCTCCCAGCTATCCCCTTAGCCTTTTAGCCTTTTAGTGTTCAGTGGTAGTTTCCATTTACCCCACTAAAAATTTAACTTTTGGCGGGGGATCTGCGGGCAGCCCAGAGAACAAACCCACGGGGCGCGGTTGGCAGATCTTGTCCTTCGAGCTGCCGGAGAAGTTGTCGGAATCCACCGGCGCCGGCAGCCGCCTCGCGGAAGGTGAGCCGAATTCAGAGCCGAAAGCTCGGCTTTGGCGGGGACCCACCCCTTTCAGCTAGGTGCCAACTTTTAACCACGTCTTTTTTGGTTGGGAGATTCGGTTCCCCTACTAAAATAGACTACAGAAAAAAAAAGGTACCCTTATTCTAACCTCTCTACTGGAGGACCTAGAAGGGAAACCAAGAAGAAAGCCATACCTGGGGTTTCCAAACCTGTAAATGTGTACTTCTTGGGTATGAGTTGTTTATCGGTTTTTGAGGCTCCTGGTAGGGGAATTTCTCAATATGTTGGCCCTTGATGGTTCGCAAGGGAATCCTAAAAGAAACAACCCATTGCCAGGGCAAATCATGAGATAATTCGACCCGGAAGATGGGGAAATGCACTCACCCAAACTGGAGGTCCCTTCCTTGGGCATTCCTGATTTCCGGTTTGCTCAAGAATTGTGGCCAGACCTGTGCCCGCGTTTTTTGCTGGCGGGTTCCGAGCCCCTTTGCAGGCTCAAAGTCGCAACCTGGAAGTACCGACCTGGGTTTTCACCACTCCATGGACCCCTCCGCAAAAGTAGCTCAACAGAAAACGCTGCCCATGAGAACGCAGGAAAGCCATGGGAATGGGCAGAACCCTGAAATTGGCTTCGGTTTTCTTTCGGGTCGCCTGTAAGCTAACCAACAAAAAGATGTTTGGCCCAAAAAGAGTTCTTTTGGGGGACCCGACAAAAATGGAGGTTTCCTTGCGGCTTCCCTTGAGATCACCAAAAAAGAACGGGGGACCCTCAACAAAGACAGACCCTTTTTTCTCCATCACAGTAGGTCAAGCAATGTGTGGCATAGATATTCCCATGATTGGTGGCTGGTGATAGTGACGCTTGCTCATTTGATTTTGACTGTTGCTCATATTACATACAGCATATGTATGCTCCCGGTTTGGACAAACAACTTAAATCGGTTCGTTCTAGATTGGTGGCTTTCCAACTAAGCTATCTTATTCCTTTGCTTTGATGGACCCCTGCGCTCCTGTGGCTGGTTGCCACATGTGAGTGCTAGGAGTGATATGGGGGGCATGTCGAAATAGGGGCGCTGGTTGGTATCCTCTTAAGGCGGCACAAGGCGGCAAGGTGCTCAGAAAAGGGGCCATACCAGCTGCTGCCGATCGGCGCGGATCGGCGCGGATTTGGTGCAGGCGAGGGTACTTGGTGGGAGATCCTCCAAGTGAACCACACTGAGAGCTTGGATGAGCTGCAGCACATTCTGGTGGAGCCAAGGCACCAGTCGAAGTTGTCTGATTTTAGAAAACTACCGAGAATGTTGTGGTTTCCCTTTTGGTTTCCCTGTTTTCTGTGAAACCACAAGAAAGGGGCATCCTGAAGAAAAGACATACCCATTTAAGAAACGCCCAAAATGCACCCGTTTTAATTCGGATCATTTTGCTGGATCTTAAGACTTTATCTTTTTGGGCAATGGCGATCTTTGCCCGCTAAACAGACAGCAGCTAAGGTTTTTTGCACCGGGAGGTAGTTGGTCATCCAGCAATTGAAGGGTTGCCTGCATCATGCATCAGCAGTGGCATTGGTGGCATGAACAGTAATCATTTGCTTAGGACCTCCATGGGTGCCTGTTCAACTTTTTGGAGGGGCTTCCCCTCTAGGGTCAATGACTACCCACGCTTAAGGTCTTGGACTCGACGAATATGATGTGACGGGGCGCCTTTTCGCCGGTGGAAATCCACTGGAGGCTAGACTGCTTCACGTGCTTCACAGAATGGCGTTTCGTGACGGGCAATGGGATGCTCTCCCAATTAAACAGAACACATTGGTGTTTGGAGTCTGGAGCTTCTTTTGGGAGGGGAGAGACCTGTTTGGGGGGTTGCGTTCAGTGAATTTCGAGAGCATTGCGCATGGGTAGTCGCAAAGCTGCCTTTCCTGACATCGCACAGCATCCAGCATACACACACCCACCCGCCCACCCACCCGCCCACCCGCCCGCCCACCCGCCCACCCACCCACCCCACCCCACCCTACCCACCCACCCACCCCACCCCACCCACCCACCAGCCCCACCACACCCCACCCCACCCCCACCCACCCACCCATCCACCACCCACCCACCCATGGAGGCGTTCAGTAACAGCCGTTGTCCACCCTGATGGCATCCTCAAACCTGAAAGAAAACATGATCCCCAAAGGAAGCCTTATCACCCACACGTCTCAAAAGTGGCACCTTGCAAACTCATTGACACTGCCGGCGAGCCAGCCGCCGAGGCCGGCGGTTTTGCCGCGGCTGCTGCTGATGCCGAGTTTGCCTGCGGTGGATAGCTCCTGGAACTCCTTGGATGCGCCGCGGCGGATTTTCGGATTTTCGGAACCCATCGATTCGAGGGGGCCGTGGTTTTGGTTTATGCGTACCTGGAGTCTCCTTTTGACCCTTCCAAAATGCGGCCACCCCTTTCTAGTGGGCAATGACCACCATTTTTTTGAGGGTCAGCAGGAGACTCCAGGTAGTTGGATCCAATACCCTGAGATTCCGTTGGAGGGAGAGTAGGTACCTGGTCTAAACCTTAACCACTTTGGCAGAGCCCAGAGTCAATGGGGCTTTGGAAACTGTGCATTGGTGACAAGGGGAACCATCATGCACCTAGAGGTAAGACACCCCGGTTACAATGGTGGAAAGCGGAAGCACCGGGCTAGAGCATGTCTTGTGCGTTCAGTTGCCTCTTTCTTTCTTTTTTTTGAGGGGGGGCGGGGGGTCCTTTTTAGCATGTAAGGCTTTTAGGGTTTAGGTTTATCAGGTTTTGGGATTTGGGCTTAGGGATGTTAGGTTTTAGGATTATTTTGGGTTTAGGAGTGTGCGCGCTGTTGGCTTAGGATTTATATTTTTGGGGTTGCGGTTTAGTGCTTTTGGTGTTTAGGTTTGGGCTTGTTAGGGTTTAGGTTGTGGGTGTTTGAGGTTTGTGGGTAGGGTTTTTAGGGTTTAGATCGGGCCCCAAAACACTGGCACTGCGGAATCAATAGTTTGCACTTTGGCGGATTGAAATATTCAAAACGCACACGCGAGCCCAATTCTTGCGGAGGGCCCACTTTCCGCAGCTGAGTTTGCAAGTTGGGCTACAGGGACCCTAGCTGGAGCTGAGCCCCCCAACGCACTGACCCTGCGCTGTAGATAGAATTTGCTGCTATCCCTTTCCGAGAAGGATTGGGGCAGATCACATGGACTGGCCACAAAATGGGTAGATTCCCTTTGGACACCCTTTGTAAACCACCCTAAACGGGTATTCACGCAAAAAGAACACCCTCACATAAATCGTTTTTTGTTTGCCTTAGTAAATTCGCGTCCTTTTCCTGTCATTTCAGGTGGCGTCAACAGTCCGTTATCAGGATTGATCCCAACCTCGCAATCACTGTGGCAGGGTCTGGGGAACAAGCTTGGTTGTTTGTCGGAAGTCCAAACAAAGGTCCACTTCCATCATGACCGTCCTCCCAAGTAGAAAGGTCCCAGAACAGTCCAATGCATGTTTCCCGTGAGTGCCTAGGCTCCGGCTCTCTGAAAAGCGAGCAAACCAAGCAGATGGGATCGCAGATGCAAAGAGAAGCCCTCGAATATGTTTCCTCAAAATGATATGGGTGCCCTAAACTGTTTGGTTTTCTCTTCACTCCGTTTAAATTTCAACCAAAAGTGACCCACCATTTTGACATCTCCCAAGAATGCGGTCGCTTTAACTTGGCTGCTATGTGGTTGGATCTTGTGACCTAGTTTGAATGATGTTGATTTTTCCCACTAAGCAGGAATCTCCACCAGCCGTAGAGATGCGGGAGCAACAAGTTAAACATTTGGTACAGGCATTGCGCCGCGTTATTTTCCATCGGCTGATATGAATATGCGTCAATTCTCCCCTGTTGGTTTTAACGAAATTCTTTCACTAAACATTTTACAAACAAAGCCATTTTTCGGGTCCCCTTTTGATGTCCGCGGGGATCCTCGAAGCACCTGAGGTGCTTTGCCAGCATCGGAGGCCGGTGGACCTTGTCCTGGTGGACACCAGCCCCCTGGTGATGATCGAGAAGGACCGCCGTTTTGGCGACCGGATTTCGTCGCGTTACGCCGCGTTGTTGTTGTGCGAACCCAGCGGATTGCTTCCATTTTAGTGGTTCTGTTGGAAGCAACCTTGTTGAGACTAACCTTCACATACCAAGGTTTTGACTTATTTGGGGTCTACCCTCCTGGGGTGCTTAAAATTAACCACCACAGCCCCGCGGAGTACTTCTGCGAATCTGGGCTGAAAAGCGAACCTGGCCATGACGGAGCGGCTGTTTCCTTGGACCCTATTTCCACCAGGTACCCGAGGGAAGCCAAAAGGAAAAAACAGTTTGTGTGGAGTTCCCCAATTTTGCAAACCCAGCTGTGATTGTTGGCCAGATGCAGCACGCCCCAAACGCAAGGGTCTATTGGGAAGGGGCTCGTGAATAGATCTCGGAGGGGCCATTTGACAGCTCTTGGAAGGTGCTGACATTTCGCAACAGCTTTCCTTCGGCATCCGACTTTACGCCATTTAACTTGGTGGTTCCCAGCCATGCCCTTTGCTTTTTAGCTGTTTAGTGCTTAGTGGGGATTTCCATTTAACCCACTAACAGTTAGACTTTTGGCAGGGGATCTGAGGACAGCCCAGTGAATGACCCCCAGGTTCTCTCAGGATCAAAACTTTTTTTTAACAAATTTTGGCCGGTCAGGAGTGGATGATCATCGAGGCGGTGTGCAAGCCCCGGCGAGCGCTGTTGGCCAACCTCAACCTGCCCAGCAGCTTCGTCCAAGCGCACTGGGCTCCTTGCGTCGTAAATTCTGGCGAGCTCGCCTGGATGTAAAACGAGCTCACCACGGTAAAGATGATCCTTTACTGGATTCAAGAATGGGATTCCTTGTTTCAGGTTTTGGACATATTTGTAACATGTGCAGATTGCATTCACTGACTGTTTTCAGGGGGTTGCCGGCACCAAAGGGCGAAGGTGGAGCACCGCCTTCTCCTGCTCAAGGGAAAAGGTGGAAGTCCCTATGCTAAATCAGGGACACGGTTTGACTCTTTTCGTGGCTTAGACTGGAGCCTTCTGAGATGTGTGTGTGTGTGTGCTTTCCCAAGCTCACTTGCCCAAAGGCGAATCGACCTTGTGACCTGTTCGTCCCCCCCCCCGTGTTGGTCCGTTTGTAGTCGCGCCAAGAGGGTGTTCAGCTTTTATTCCCGGCTCTGGGAAACGGAGCGATGGTTTCACTTGAAATTGGAATCGGCGTGCCAAGAAGACCAGATGATCCTGTGCCAAGTTTGCCTCCACCCAAACGAAGCCAAAGTGAGAGCGGCTGGCCATTGCGAACCAGCGAACTGGCGAACATTTGCTGGAAATCCCGGCTCTTGTCGGTCTTTGGCCTCATGTCCCTTTTGAAATTCCTTCCGCTGGTTTCTATGAGTGATGCTGAAGTCTTTGGCCGCCTCATCGCAAGCCCTTTGAATCCTATGGATCAACTACTTTTGGCCCACACCTTTACCATTTGTGTGTGTGTGTGTTTGTTGTCGAGGGTACCCTTGTTGGGGGGGAGGGTTGGCGGTTTAAAGGGAAACCACAAAGAAACCACAAATAGTTGGGCCCCCCACCATTTCTTCTTGAGACAGTTGCCCTTCAAGACCAGGTACCAATCTAGTTAAGATGGGTGGACGCAGCCTTTTGCTGGGCTGGGTCAAAGCTCTGAGCCGCTCCATAGATCAGGTAACTCTCAATGGGTGGTTTGGATTTGGATTTGAACCTCTTGTAAAGAGCCCTCGATGCAAACCGCCAATCCAAATGACCAAGAGGGAAGCTGAAACAGGGATGATCAAACCACGAGGCAACCCGTTGGACTGGGCCTCACCTCTCGAAAGAAACCCGAGCGTCTACGTGGCCTAGCCCCGGTTTTGTGCCAAGTTAAGAAATTGGAACGGCTCACTCCCTGGAGGGCCGATGTTTGACGTTGTACGGTTGGACATCTTGTCCCACAAAGGCCGAAGCAAATGGGTGAAGCCTCTCGATGACTGTGTTGCTAACCGCTTTCAAAGGCTGACATTATATTGCTCTGTACTGGCTGAGCTTTTCTTTCCAAGCAAGCTGGGTTGTATTCAACTAGTCAGTTTTCAATCTCTTCAACAAATCAAGCTGTGCAAGGTCCTCTCAAACAACACCGCCACTTAATGTTGACCCCAGATAGATTTGGTAACCTGGCGGACCAGTAGGGCTGTTTCTTGCAAAAGTGATTGGGAACCCTTTGCCAGGAGTAAATGAATCCTCGGTCCCACGATAGTAGACAACCTGGGATTTTCCCCGAAGTGATTGGCATAGAACGGTGTCTACTACCTACAAAGAAGCTTGAGCATCCCGTCCACCACTCCCAAACCACTACCCCCGAACGAAAAAGGGGGAGGGGGGGAGGGGAGGGAACCACTACCCATTATTTGGTAAACTCACGAGGCTTCAACCCCACTTACTAAGGTTACACTTAGTGGGTTGCAAATCCAGGTACCGACTACACCAGGGTGAGAGTAGATGGCGCAAGTTCCTTTCTTTTGGCAAAGGGGATGCCAGAACCCAAACGAGGGTCTATGTCGCCCACATGGTTTCCCAACAGTCTGTTTGCTCTCTAACTCCTCAGGCTAGAACCTACAAACATGACTTCTAACCAATGCTATCGCCTATGGGTTGAAAATCCAAGTACCTTGGCAAATCAACACATGGCGTCTTCTTTTGGGATTAAGACCCCAACAGCTGCCGAAGAAAAGTCAAGAAAAAGGATACCGAGATTCAAAAGAAGATAGACCAACCTCGAAGTGTCACCTTTTATACGGTGTCTAAGTCTGGCCCAGACTTGTTGGTTCTCAGTAGGGAATCAACAGGGGTTTTGTGGATGAACCTAGGGATCCCCCAAAAAAAGGCAACCACCAGTTGGATTGTTTTTTCGGGTTACATTTCTCATTCCGTGCCTATGGCACCAGCCCCCCCCCCCCCCCACAAAACCCAACCCCCCCCCCCCCTCGTCCGAGGCGCCTCCGCCTGGATCTGGCAACGCCTGGTGCGCCTGGGCTGGCGCCAGGACGGCTTCGATCAATCCGGGTCCGGGTGTCACCTTGACCAGACCAAGGGTGGATGGTTTTCTACATGCACCCAGCCCCTCTCTCTAGAGACACAACAAACACACACAACGGACACAACGCACACAGCGGACACAACACACAACGCTCAACACACACACACACACGCATACAGACACACAGACACACAGACACACAGACACACACGTGCACAGTCTGTGACTCCGAATGCGGAGTATGGCCAGACCCTGGCGGGGCACTACGTCTTGGGGGACTCCCCATGGCCGCACCACTCGGAGTTGCGGCGCGTGCGCGCCTGGGCGCTGCGCCTGGGACTGACAAAGACGACCTCCCAGACACCCAGACACCCAGTGGGGTCCAATTTTCCCGTTGTTTTTGTGGAGAGGGGTGTGCCCTTGAAGATCAACCAACAAACAAATGAGAGTGCCGATTATTGCTTTTGTTTTTATGGCCACTGGAGGGTCTGGGTGACTTCAATGGCTATGAGTTTTAGTGGGGAACCGTCTTAAGAGTTGCTTGTGGACATGAATCCCTTAAATGATATCCACCAAAGGGCCCCTAGTTAAACATCACACCGCCCTTTCCATTGAAATCTGACGATCGCCCAAAACCCGTTTGCTTGATTCTACCAGCATTCTTATGGCCAGGCCGTCTCCATTACCCCCTCCCCCCCAAACCGTTTGCTCTAACCCCCATGCAACTTCCATCGTAGAACCACTCGTAAACTTGCGTTAGGCTTTTCGGGGATGAGCCTAGGGGTGTTCTGAAAGGAAACCACAGGGGGGTGATTCCCTCAGTCCCTACTGATGAGAACCCGCAAGCTGCGAACCAGTGGATTAATGAACCAACATGAACCCAGGTTTATTTTGATCGGGGGGCCTCCCATTTAGCAGGGCATCCAAGTTACTTTGCGGGGGAACACTCCGATCTTGTTTTCCAAACAGGGATGGTCAATCTGGAGTTGTCAATTTTTTTTGGTTGCTTGCTTCCTTGTTTGTGTGTTTGTCTGTCTGTCTGCTTGTCTGTTCTTGTTTGTTTGTGCTGGGTGTTTTTTTTCTATAGGCTTCGTTGGGGCTACTGAGTTACTACCTTCCGTTAGACCCCCCTGCAATCCCCAGCATATGTTTTTGCGAGAGATGGTCTTGCCATTCCGCCTGTCGTGTGGGAGTTTTGCACGGTGGGGGTGTTTGACAGACAGCAGTGGTCAATGGTGTGAACCTGCCCTGGGGGACCCTTTCGACATCAGACATGCTTGCTTGGATTTCAGTTTATGCGACCGCAAACCAGGGTGCCCCTCCCAGAAGCATGGAACTCACAGCTTCCTTGCATGTTTGGTGGTGGGAGGGTTCCCTCAAGGTACGTTGGGTGCCCTAAACAAAGGAAGTCCGGCGACCAGCCGACTCCTTCAGCTTTCCAATGTCTCCCTTAAAACCCGCAAAAAAACTACATATATATATATATATACTGTCAACCTAGCACAAGCTCCCGGGGTGGTGAGCTTGCCCTTCGTTTCCTTGGGCCTGAAGGCTCATCTCGTGTGTTTTTCGGGGCTTCCGCGTTTGTTTTTTTAATCCGTGTTCGTTTTGGCCAAGGTTGGAAGCCCCAAGCTGACTTTCGTCTCCTGGCAGGAGCTGAGATCCGGTCACTCTTGGCTTAAGGGTTGGTGATTTTCCATTTGGGATTCCACCAGGATTGGTCCCAGGGGATCACCTGGGACTCTGGGACATCGATGTTGGGCTTTCCAATTGGGATGATTTGAGCGTCCAGGAATTCTTCGGAGATGTTGAGTAAGAGTCGCATCATATCGACCTAAGCAACACATTCCACGCGAGTAAGGCGGCAGAAGCTGGCGGCGTAATTCAGCAACATGATGCGACATAGCAAATCATGACACGTTTAGGGCTTGGCTCACTAGGTGTTCGCCTTGAAAGTTCTAGGGGTTGAGTTCCCATTCTTTTGAACCATCGCTCTTTTCAACAATCAGCTGCTCTCCCTTGTTTTTCTGTTGGTTTTCTGAACCTGGAAGGGATGTGCAAGTTTCGCCGAGAAATATCAAGAATCCAAGAATGCCTTTTGTTCCAATGGCTTGTTGGACCTTCGACCAAGTAGTTAGGGATTAGATTTAGCTACTTTATTTACCCGCCACTTGCAGGAAAGACCGCTTTGCGGACTTGCTTCGGGACTGCGTAGGTTACCAACCACGGACCCACTTGGCCCAGGTACGCAATGGGAACCCCGGACTCATAAACCCTTGGTTTATTAATACGGGTGTCCCCTTTTAGTGGGGTTCATCACTTTTGGAGGAACCACCCCCGTAGAAGTAGGACGGGCTCATTAACTAGCGTCACCATTTTGATGATTGTATCCCAAACTTCATGCATTGCTGAGAAGCATTTACCAATGTAGTTGTTTGTTTTAAAGAACTCAGGTCTCGCAGTTGGTCTAAGAGAGTTATCGGGCCGAGAGGGCATTTCCGCAGGCCACGAAAGGAAGTGAAAGATAGCAAGAAAGCCTTTCTTTTTGATTTTTCCTGATGAATAGATAGCCAGGATTCATGTACCCCTTAGCAGTTTTGAAATGGTGGCTTGGGGATTGAAGTTGCTGTTTCAGCCAAATTGATAATGTACCCCTCACGCCCAAACCAAGCCACCAAACCACCAATTAGCAGCAAGGCGATGGATAACCGTACGAACAGGAATGCAAGGATTCGCTCCTGTAAAGAGTTGGTTTGCCTCCATTTGCTCAAGAGTATGTGTCATTTCCCAATTGTCTGTCTCGCGCAGGAGACAGAAGAGGATGCGCGAGCCCGCTCGGCTCGTAAAAGAGCCCGCATGATTGCATCCCACTTGTCACGAGACGACCGCATCCTTGCAAATGGCTGATGAACCTAACATTCAATTTCAGTTGCGGCGGCGTCTGGTTGTTTTGAGGTTACATACCACTATAAGGGGAACATATGCTGCTTTACAAGCTATACATTTGTAATATTGCTGCAAATCTTAATAGGCTACTGGGCACGTCTAAGATGCCTGGTTTCATACACTGTTCCTCATCCTGATGTCTACATGGTCAATTTCCCATCAAAATTCGGACGAATCCTGATCCGCTTGTGTATCCTATTGCCCCTAGAAAACTCGTGTTCGATCCCGGTAGAATTAGATCTCACCAATCAAGTCCCCGAAGAAGCCTATTTACTCATTCCTTCACTTTCTTTTCTTTTGGAACGTCATTGCCGGGGGTTGCATGTGCGTTAGATCGTGAACATGACGCCTCTCTGACTACGCGCGCATGCGGGTGTGCCGCAGTAGTATATCCTTTGGGGGTCAGCAATCGCATAGACATGAGAATATATGTTTCCATACCGCTCGTTACATGTGAATATAATATATGTATTATAGTGTCAGTGTATATATATAGTGTAATTTGTATGATCTGAGCTATATGGGTATGTACTCACCCCTTTTGATGTTAAACTGAGGGCTGGAGTCTCCTTGTCTATATCAGAAACAGAAAATTACCCCAAATGCAGCCCTAGTCTCAGGCTGATCTTCGGCGCCGATGACACTACGGCCTCAGAGTACCTCAAGGACTCGCTTGCACCGTAGCGGTCGACGTTTGGCAAGCGAGTCCCGGAGGCCCACCTTTCACTCAAGAAAAACAAGGAAACACACAAGCACCCCAAAGAAAGAACCAACAAATAGGAGTGGGAAAGCAAACAAACAGCACGGAACAACATGTATGAGCTATCTGAAATGTAGCCACGTGCGGTTTTCAGCATTTACGGGGCAAGTTTGAGGCTGTCCGGGAAAAGGAGAAAACTGGCTGCAAGTGTTTACTGAGTTAACTGGGTGGAAATTCCTGAACATGACTGGTGGGCATTCATCCCCAAGAATTTCTGATGTCGACCAAAGGCTCCAAGTCCCCAACCTTTCGAATGTCCAGCAAAGAGTCCACCCAGTTAGAAATCAGTCTTGCTGTTGAACGCATGAATAAGCATTTGTTTTCTCATCCAAGGACACCTACATGGAGCCAAGGGTCAATCGGACCTTGGATGATCACTTCCCCACTGAAGGATGCCCCTGATTAGTCCAGAGTGGTTCTTCTGAAGTTCGAAATGTTTCAGAGGGTGCCCTCTATGGGGTGGTTTAGAATGTAATTCAAAGAGAAGCCAGCCAGAAACGGGGTTCCCGACTTCAAATCAATAAGTTAATACGTAATTTGCAATCCGGTTCCCTGGCAACATCCCGAGCTTTGTCCCACGGCCACTCGAAGTTTGGGCTATTCGCTCAAAACAGTTGGGAAACCAAACACACCACCATGTTGGGATGGCTATACAACAACTTGTTTTTAGCAATCAACAAAGACTTTCGGTATCAAGAACACTATCTTAGCAATAAACAGACACTTTCCATACTCCCTTTGTATTGCTTGTAGACTTGTGGTCTCTTGGTCCCCCGCCCCCGGCCTTTTGGTCCCTGGTCCATTGGTTCTTTCATCATTTGCCCCCCTGGCCTTTTCTTTTGGTCCCTTGGTGCTTTGGTCCGTTGGTCCTTTGGTCTCCCGGGTCTTTGGTTCGTTGGTTGTTTGGTCCGTTAGCTTTGGTCCCATGGACCCTTGGTTGTTTGGTCCGCTGGTCCTGTTCTTTTTGGTTGTTGGGTCTTCTATTTTGAGTTCTTTGTCCGCGGGTCCTTCGGTGGGACGTGTTGGTTGGCTGGCTGGCTGGCTGGCTGGCTGCCTGCCTGCCTGCCTGCCTGCCTGCCTGCCTGCCTGCCTGCCTGCCTGCCTGCCTGCCTGCTTGTTTTGTGGGTGGGGCAGTGGCATGCAGCATGCATTCATGCATTCACTCATACTTTCTCCATGGGTGTTATTCTTTGCTTTCTAGTGGCCCCGCTTCTTTATAGTTTGTGTTTTTTCTTTCTCGGCTTTGTGACCTTTGTTCGCAATCGCGCGCTTTCGCCATTAGTGTCTTCTAAGTGCGGGGGCTGCTCCCCCTCCCCCCCAACCCTCCCCCCACTTCTTTTTAGGGCCGTTGTTCAGCTTTATGATCCTTGTTTGTAATCGTGTACTTTCTGCATTGGTGTTTTGATATTCTTTTCTCATGGGGACCTTCCCCTCCTCGTCAAAGGGCCTTTGTAGCAAGTAGCCTTCTTCAATGGATGCTGCATCAAGCTGACACCCAATTGCAACGTTGGAATCGTGTGTTACCACATCCTCGTGAAGGGCTTGCACCGTATTTGCGAAAAAGGGGCTTCCGATCGACTTGTGATTGCGCGTCCCGCTTCTTTATAGGGCCGTTGGTCAGCTTTGCGATCCTTGTTTGTGTTCTCGCACTTTCTCCATGAATATCATGATATGTGTTTCTAAATAGTTTCTGTTTCTCCAACTCGAAACCAACCCAAACGAATCCTGAACTTCCACCCACTCTAACATCATCTCAAGCCAACCCTCAACCCCACCCCTAAGCCAACCCAAGAATAAAACCATACCTAATCAGCCCAACTTAAGCCAACCCTAAACAAGCCCTAAGCAAACCCTATACCGACCCAAACCCCCCACTAAACCACCCTAAAGCAAGAACCAGTCCTAAACCCCGCCCTAAACCAGCACTAAACCCAAACTAAACAAACCTAAATCCGCGCTAAATCCACCCTCAACAAATCCTTAACAAGCCCGAAGCAAGCCCTTCACAGTGCTGGTGCAAAACAAGTGCGTGTTGCTTGAACATGCAATAAACCACAGCATTTTAGCCCCGGGAGCGAAACCAAAAAAAGCCCTGGGATCCTTGTTTGTACCCGCGCACTTTCTCAATTACTATCTTGATTTGTTTCTGTCTTGGTGGGGGGCTGCTCCCATAAACCCGTCCGAACGATCCTAAACAACCCCCCGCCCTAAAGCTGGTCCAAATCTACCACAGACCCTCAACGTCTCGGCCTCTCGTCCCTTGGGTTTTTTGGTCCTCCGGTCCCTTGGTCCTCTCGTTTGTTGGGTCCTTTCCGTTCCCTAGTCCTTTGGCCCTTGGTTCCAATAAATTCGTTGCTTCATTGCCCTGGACCTTCGCTCCTCCCTTGGCTTTACGCGCTGGTATTCTTGTCCCCTGGTCTCGTGGCCCGTTCATCCTTTCGTCCTTTCGTCCTTTCGTCCACCGCCTCTCTGGCCGTGGCGACACACCCTGTTCACCTGGCCCCTGCAAGTTGTTGTTTTTATTGTTAACAGAAAGGTTGTTTGATTGTTAAAACATGTTTTGTTTGTTCTTCCTTTTTTCTATAATGCCCTATCCCACCATGTTTGGGGCTATCCTCATTTTGACACCCCATATTTCTTTATGGGCATTTGGTTGGATCCTTGGACTTTGGGAAACATTGGATTTTCCATTGGACCCACAAACAGCACAGCTTTTTTGCAGAGGGGTCAACAGCAGTAAAGATCTGGGGTGTCCTCCGAAACTATGTTGTCATTTTAGGACAGGCCAACTGCGAAGCAGCACCACGTGGGCCAGGATTTATTAATCCGAGGTCAGCATTAGGGGTCCTGTGCCTCGAAAGCTTGATCCGCGCGCGGCGTTTGGGTCAGGACCTGATTAGCTCCGCCGGGCTGAAGGAGGCTTGGGTGGAGCCGGGCAACCCAGATCTCGGGGCTTTGGGTAAGCAGTGGCCCTTTAGTTTTTCTTGGACAGCAACCCAACCCCACACAAAAGCCGC